GCCGTCTCGGAGGAGTATGGGAACGAACATTGTGACACGATAATTTTATATATAAGATTTCTATGAAATGTTAGGTTGAAAAGTTTACTACTGGATTTGGTGATTATATCGTCGCTTACATTAAAACGGTGCGTATCTCAATTTGTGTAGTTTTATAGGTCGATAATTTTTTTTTTTTCTAAAAAAAACAACATTCATCTAAATAGAAAACACTTAGCTCAACTATATTTTCATGTGTTATTGACTGAGATACAAGGTTTTGATACGAGTGCGACTATCATTTTCGTGATCGACAGTGTAACCGCGAGTCTGACAAAACAAACTTATAGAACGAAACGTCTTGTTTTATTAATATCAATAATAATGTCATTTTATCACATTTTAAGATACGCGCTGTTGCGGTATAAGCGACGATATAATAATTGTACCTGCAACGCCCGTCAATAAGACTTGGGGATTGCGTGAAACCCTCGCGGGACACGCTGTATACGCACTGATATAATATATTACAGTACCCGCGGTAGTTTCTACGATAATAGTATACAACCAATTCGAACTACGAAATAAACTAAACCGGGCATAACTATACGCCGTCACAATCCCGCAAGAATATATAATATATATGTATATTTTTTTTCTCAATTTCACGGTTGTTATACGGGCACTGTTCGAAAAACACGAAGCCTCGTTAAACTCGCTCGTACACATCACGCGGCCCACGGCAAACCCAATATACCCAGGTAGTAGTTTATGTTAATACATTGTGTTTACAATATTATATTGTATTATGTATTATTTATGTGTATGCATAACGCATAACGCATTATCGACGAAAATAATGATAAACGATAAAGATATGGTATATCTATTATATTATTATATTATTCGTTCTAAACTTCATAGTTAAACGATAAAAAGAACAAAAACGATTGATCATCGTGTCACATTATGTTTTTATGCGCGTAACCGTATTCCCCGGCTGCGTATAAAATTTACTTAGAGGTCTCGGGGCGAGGTGGGGGAGGGGCACGAGGTTAGGTCATTCTTAAGAAAATTGTCTTCAAAAGATAAAGGTATGCCCGAATAATTATTTATTTCCGATTTATGTTATCGTTTTAGTTTCCTATCGGTTAAACGATAACATTAGATAGGTGTATGTGTATTAATAATACTATATTATTACATTTTAAAATACGATGGCATCGACATTATTACAACGGTAGTGGGAAGATTTTTACGGATTTAAATTCAATTAATAGACATTTCCGGCGTCGAATAAATAAACATACTTTAATTTTATTTCCAATGTTAATTACTTTTCTATTTTTTGTGAAACGCTCAAAATACGGATGTACCATACCTAATATATATATATATATATACGTATACATAAATATTTTCGGGATAGAAGTGCAAACTTTTCGTGCGACGTATAAAACATGTGGCGGTTCGCTTTTATTTTTAGTCCCCGCAACGATTCGTATCAAAACTAAACTAAAAAAAAAAAAAATGTCATTACTCGCCCCTCTCAAGTTATTACTACTTTTTTTTTTTATTCCGCCGCTGCCGTCATCGCACGATATTTAATATGATAAATTTGCTACGATTAATAATATAAAAAAACAATTTACGCATCATATCTCTGCTGCGACTACTGTACCGGAGATCCGGCGGAAAACATTCGGAAGCACTCGAATTACGATGTGTAAAATATATTTTTATATTTTCCATAACGAGATATTTTATACATGTATAATATATTAGTATTTTGAATTTTTTTTTTTTTAGAAAACATGATAGTAAAAAAAACCCCGCTAACGAAAACGCCACGATGGTGGAAAATAAACGAGACAATTTACAAGATTTTTGTATTGACAGAATGACACGCAGTCATGCATATATTGCAGTTATTATCGTAAAAAACTGACGAATATAAAAACAGTAAAAAACGGTGTTTTATACACCGCTTTTTGAGCAGTTATGTTCCGCCCACTTTTCCCGAAATCCCGATGTATATTTGACTACGACTCTAATTAAACTCTAATGACGGAGCTCTGCTGCTCACGGGTTTTTTTTTTTATTTCATACTTGTTTATAGTATATTCAATGCCTTATAATTATTTTTAGTTGAGCTAACCTAATCACAATTTCAATAAACCTTAGAAACCTACGTAATCCTATAGATTGTTTTTCCCAACGAATTTTCAAAAGTTTATAAATAATAATATGGTAAATTTGTTTTTCGAGAGAGTAGGAGCGAGCTTACAGTGACAGTAGGGTGTCTTTATTTTGATTTATTTTTATTTTCTCCCGGGAATAAGGGACGAAACACACGATGCCAACCGTTTGATAGTGTCAATCATCGTTCACCGTGCACGTACATATACATAATATATATATACTTATAATACGTGCATGCGTATAACACTACGGAGGATACTGAGTCCTAGCGGTGATGACACATCGCCACTGATGACGGACCACCCTGTATATAATATTATCATGTACGCGGCACGACCGTCGACCCTCCGGCAGAAAGCTACTCGCGACGAGGAGCCAAGTCATCGACGCGCTGGTACGCTTGTCACAAACTCCATTCGGTCGCCTATTGTCATCTCCCGTACACATCATCCGATAAAATGCCGAAAAAAAGAAAACGGCGAGTGTACGTTTTTATTTGTTTTTTTTTTTTCTGTACACATTGTCGAGACGTTAAATTCCCGTATTCGGCGCCGCCACCGTAATTTTGTAAAGGAATGTTATCGTAAATGTGGATTGCTACCATTGCTGCCTGTATTTAAAGATATTATATTCGAATTGATGCCATAGTGTCATAGTGAGTTGTGAGTTGTTATAATAATCGCATTTTATAAAAAAATAATAATAAAAAATGTTATAAAGTAGAAATTGGAACATATTCGGGAACTGGAGTTGTGTATAAACTGCCATCCCGAACCCCCCCCCCCCCCCCCGAGCACTTTTTCTTCTTTTTAGAGTTCCTATCCGTTTTGGATTTTCGAAATCTTCTAATAAATATCTTTTTCCATTGAATGACGTACGAAACAATTCACTTGATGCTGCGCCAAACCAATCGTGGAGGTTTTTCAACCTTGATATTCTTCTTCTTTCGCCAATAGAGCGCAAATTTCTATTTTTACTTAAAATGTATAAACCGCAGTTATCCATATCGAATTGGTTATTTTTCATTACGTGCAGATATTCTAATTTCTGAGATTTTATAGTTATCAGTAGTAGATATTTTCCGAACACCTATTGTATTAAATTGCGGACTTTCGAATTTTGACCAATCCAGATTTATTCGGGAGTTTATGATGCGTTTGATGGTCATAAAATCCGGAAAAAAATATCGCTTTCTATTCGTACGCAAACGAGACTCGATTTTAACAGGGCCGTTGCCGTCTAATATAATAATATATCTAATGTGTTTTTTATGAATTATTATCCGACACACTGGACGTCGCGTGTCCAAACAGAACTATACCGCTACATCTATATATATATATATATACACGTTTAACCTACGTGCACTACCTACAGTAACCACTACTATCTATATACGGTGTCTGGTTAAAGACTATTTTCTCGTGCATACAATATAATATAATAATATATTATGGTTTTGACGGCGATAGACGATAACGGTAATACATTTTCACATGGGTATTTGGTGTTTTTGACACGAAACACGAGTAAAGAAAGAAAAGAAAAAAAAGCTAGAATGCACCCGGACAAAGAGGTCCGACGCCTTTATTTTTGTTCTATAAACACTGTTTCTACATACCGATTTTCTTATAATATCTGAATTTATAATTATCAACTCGTATAACATGTAATATACTGATATTTTACAGTAAACACGCTCGGTTTTTTATACATAACATGCATACGACAAATATATTTCATGAATATCTCATAAATTCTTGAACTATGGCATTTTTTAGTCGAAGGCTTAACTCGATGTGCCTAGCTATTATATATAAAATGTCATCGAATTCCGCTCTACTAATTTACTAAGTATTATGGCTGTGAACTCATAGCAAATGTTTGAATTTATATTTTAAAAAAATATACGTAAATATATTTGTATAAAATATATAATGTTGTGTCTAAGTGGGGATCTAGAAATTTTGAAATGGTAGAGGGCCTACATTTGTCTTTTCTTCGAAAAACAACATACTTATCATTTTGAAATGTACGTAGATAGATGGGTAATATATTTTTCAAATTCATGACAATTATGACAAACCCGAAAATAAAGGCATTTATTGTTTTAATGTAGTTATTAATTTAGTTGTATCACTGATGAATGGTTGATACACAATAGTAAGAATATCGCTTATAGATTTTCAACCCCTTAACTACAATAATTTCGATTAATATTCGTGTAAGGAAACTGCTCTTTTTGCACGATAAGAAAAATTCTTGTGATAAAAAACTAACCATATACGAATCAGTTATGCTTAGTGAAAAATATTCACATCACGATTACTTCGGAGCTAGGAAATTTCACTGCCGATCATTTTGCTAACGGTCCAATTCGCTTCTAACCGATATCGTTAACGAATATCGACGTCGGATTTTTAGTCTAAAATCTGAGAGGAGTTGTTCAGGTAGTTTGATTATTACTATTATTATTATTAGTATATTTACTTTGATACCCCACTTAACTTCACTATTTCAAACGGCGAATTGTGCATTATATTTCGTATACAATGTACAATATTATAAACCAATCTAATTTAATGAATAGATTTTTAAGATAACAGGCGTATTAAGATAAAATATCACCTTAACAATATTGATATGGAAAAATTTTCTTATCAGTAACGGATTAAATATTTTGCAACGTTATCGCGTTCATACAAAATATTATCATTGTCCTACCGACGTTTAGTGAAAAAAAGTTTTGCGTATACGGATACCAGTAGTTTGAAAATTTAATTTTTCATTCGTATGAGGAAATACAGAAAGATGAATAGTTCGTATTCTATTCGTACGAGTTAGAGAATAGAGCCCCTGCTTGAATGAATAAAGATCGCTTTTCAACATAAAATTTACGGCAATTTATCAAACAATGATTATTCAATAGTTCATTTCAAGGCGTGTTAAGTATTTAATATAATATTTATATATATATATAAACATAATAAATAATACATCCAAAGGATGACTGAAGCCACTTAGCCCCCCCCCCCTTTCCTTGAATCCACACTTAGTTGTTTCAGATTCTTTTACGAAATAATGTACCCATAATCTTTGTTATGTATTTAGTCAGCACTGGTCTTCGCTCAATTACAATAAGTGTATAATATCGAATTGTCGAAAAATAAGTTTAATGAGTATTAGCAATTTCGTTCGTACAATAGGTTTACCAAACGTGGCTGAAATTTTGCTATCCGTAATAATAATTGTTATAAATCGCAGTTGTTTTTTTTTTTTTTTTTTTTTTCTGTATTTCGTTCAAGATATTCATTATATTTTATGGATACTTATTATAAAATGTATAAATTTAAAAAAGTTATTAAATTAATATGTATTAAAGTAACAATTATCCATAAAAATGTATAGGTGCACTCGACTCAAAAGCGTATCGTGATTATTGTTACGTAAGCTCAGGTCACTTGAAAACAATTGGGTTTTAGTTTTTTTTTTTTTTTTTACATTTACCAGCAAGTAAAACTGCCAACCGCACAATTTTAGATTGGAAAGGGCTATTTAAAGGTCACATAATTTACGGTTCAACGACTGTGCAGCTTTAACGCTGCCCGCGCGCGTATAAAAGAAAAGTGCTTTGGGATTAACAACATGAAAGTAAATTGATGAAAACATATTTTACGTGCAGGAACGACATTTTTTTTTTTTACGCAACCCCATTTTTTCCTCTGGCCTTTTCGAAAATAAATACACATAAGAAAAAAAAAAAAAGGAAAAGTATATTGCGGGTAGCGCAGTGAAATAATAAACGTAGATACGTCTACAAAATAGAAACACATGAATTTATGAATTTAATTGATAACACGTGGCAAAAATTACAAAATTAACCACTTGTTAGAAGAAAAAGAAAAGATAAAATATATTATGAATTATTATTATTATATCTATATTATGCAGTGCGGTAGATTTTTGCAGCTTAATTAAATCTCCTTTGATAAACGTACGAACAAAAACAGTTAATTCCAATTTTGACTATCTGTTTGGTTGTATTCAAAATTTTAGATCTCATTTTCGTTCCATGAGATTTTAATCGAAATCGATGTGTGAGTTGTATTATTTTTTTTATTTTATTAATGTTGGACATCCGTAAAAATGTTTCAAATACTGTAGTACTAATATCGCCGGATGGACAGTTTGAATCTTTTAGGATACGGCACGACGTGACTATTTTCAATCATATTTTTTACAAACCAAAAGTACCTAGTTTTCAAAAAAAAAACATCACTTTTCTTTTATTTATTTAGAATTTAAAAACAGTTAAGAACCTATTTTTTTTCGAATAAATAAGAAAAAGAACCTATATAATATTTGAATAATGTATATTCTATGAAAGCAATAATGACGTGGTTATATTATTATACATGATCGTATTTTATTTTAAAATCATTTATAGATTTTCGGGTAGCTCATTTTATCATCAGCTGCGTGCCCTGGGGACTCAAGCACTAGATTAGATAACGAAAATCCATCAATCAATTACGCCTACTCAGAATCCTGTAACCGTCACCCGACGTGGATTTTACATTTTCCCCTTTGTTTTTTATCGAAACCCTTCGTGGTTTTTCGACCGCTGGATTGTAATAGTTCCCACTTATAGGACACTGTATAACTTGCTCGGATCAACTAGTAGATTAGGTTTTCGTTTTAGGACCGAAAACATACGTTAACCGTTTTATACTTTTTCTCCCGTGACAGTTTCGGAAAAAGTGATGCACCCTAAACCCCCTCTCATATCATACAGCGAATGGTGTGACCAGAGTCTGCGCACATCTATACAATTTGTTCGTATTACGAACACACGAGTGACAATGTATGATATAATATAACGACGCAAATAATACAATAAAATAACAATCAATAATAAGACAACGAGACACTACACTAGGTGTACATATAGATTATAAAGTTTGCGTTTCGTTTGTTTTCATTGGCTTGTTTACCATCCATAATTATTATAGGTAGTCAAAACTTTGATAATTTATTTAAAACTGAGACAAAACACAGTAAGACACGTCGCGGTAAAAAAGTAAGTTATCATGTCAAGCGACTGAACGATAAGTCAAAAAAAATGATAAGCAAGAATTCATGTGATTATGGTAGTGTTCATGGCACAGACGTGGTATATTATAAGTTCCGTGATTCGTGGTCACTCCTTTGAAGTTTTATCCAAATCGCTATCTAATGACGAATTAGCTTATTGCATTATTTAATTATTTTGAAATAAATAATGTCATAATTAAAATTATTTTGAAGTATCAATATCAATTCATATATAAAATATTGAAGTGATTCACGATTATAATCAAAATTACATTATGTCACTATTGTTAGCAATAAAATAATTTCAATGTAATATAATTTTTTTTACTGTTGTCTGTGGGGGCAAAATTTTCGTAGGTGCAACTGCACCCTCATAGCTCCCCCCCCTCCCCCGATGCCGCCACTATCTATAATGTACGTACAATAATATTAAAAGAGCCCATCCGTCAGTAATAATATGATGTAACCGACGATAGAGTATAACACGTTTAAGTTCATTACCGACTGTACTGTATACCTACCCAATATATAGATATTATATTATTATATATTTTTTATTATCAATACCGCGTTATTTATTAATATCCTTCCCAATATGTTTCGACGCCTCTATTATGTACAGAATGGAAATTTGTACAACAATCTCGTATACGTTGTACGGGCGCGATCCACGTTGTCGTAAGGGCCGTGAAACGGCATTGTCCTCATTTTATTCATGGGAACACGTCCGATTAAAAACAGATAATAATATTATTATTATTATTATTATTATTATTATCATGTATTGTGGGCGTTCGTGCGCGTGCGGACACTATATATCACAGCCACCGGTATTGTTGTGTAAAATAAAAATAAACCACTTGGCGTCCGTCGTAACGGCCGTAAAATACACGAGCGTATATTATTATTATTATCGTTATTATTTAATATAAAACGAGCGATAGAGAATGTAACGAGTCGGAAAGAAAAGAGACGACTTTTGTACATACGTCCCCCGTTGACAGATGCCCGATGACTAGAGAGAAACGCACGCACTCGCAGCACCGCTCTGCACCGGACCGGGTGTAAAAGTGCTGCGTGTGTTCCGGGCGGGCACCTGGTCACGAAAACCCGTCATTTAGGTGTACGGATCTCTCGGTTCACATTTTGGTAGGTAGGTACCTTCGAGTAAATTCATAGTTATTATTACTCCAATTCGTCCCTCCGTGTGGATACCTATTTATATTTCTATTAAAAATTGAACTAAGAAATTGTAGAAATTGAATAACAAATGAAAATATTAGTACAATAAATCAATGAATACGGATTTAGGTTTATTAAACAAAATTATATTGCGACTTCTAGACTTTTGATCAGAAATCTCCGCAAAAGTTGGTTCGTGACTTAATGTGGTTGAATTTGTACCACCAAATTCAAGTCGAGATACTTTAGATTCCAATTGACCGATTTTAGCATTAAGTAAACCATTCTTGGGTAGAATTGCATCAAACTGCTAAGTAATATTATCAATAAGCTTACCATAATCAATATCCGTAAATATTTTGTCTAGTAATTTGTTGTCATCACAAAATGAATTTATTACAGCAATAACGATGATTGTTGCGGAATATCGAAATAAAAATAATAATTTATCGGTTTTATACTATATCGTTCGAGCTTTTTTCGTCCGCGTAAAATGTTATTTCGGAATAGTAAAAAATGTGAAATTTATTTTAATCTTTTGCAGCATAATTTCTTCCGGTATTGTACATAATATATCATAATATACATTAAACTCGACGTTTTATCATTATAACGTAAAAGTTTTATTGAATTCACACAACGCAAAATGCCAAGCGATTCGATAAAACGTTTCTCGACATCGTTTCAACACATTTTCGTATTGTGAATGAAAACTCCTAAAGTTCTGTGCAAGACATTTCGCATGAGATGGGTAATCATAGGTATTTATACGCATGGTTATGGACCGGAAACGAGAATTTAGATCCTGACGTTCAAAAAAATGCTCGCGAGACATTTCTATTACGATACCAATATAATAATAGTTTATTGTCTTATTTGTTGGTATAGAGCTTAACAATAATTATAATTGTATTGTATTCTCTTTAGAAAATTGTCGATACGAACAAACTTTTAGCACTCTGTCTGCAGGGTTAGGTTAGTTTAGGTTTGGTAGCACACAGTGGCATGCTCAGTATTTCCATGTATACATGTATTTGTATACAATTTATACATAACTACTTATTCAAACAAAACATCTGTTATTATACAAGGAATATGGATAATGACGGGAAATGCATAAATCATGAGTTATTTAAAAAAAGGTCAAGGGGGAATATGACACCCTCGTCCCTCTCACAAAGACATGCCCTTAAACGCATACATAGCATTTTTTTCGTATATCTTGCAGAGGTCCCGAGTTGCATCTATTCTATAATATAGAAAACCGAAGAAGTTATATTGCGTTTCTATACGAAATAATATATTATTTTAGTAGTAAATCCAGCCGTATAATAAAATTGGCTGTCGTGGCTTGGCGTTTTTATTGCATTTTGTAAAATAACGCGGTTAATAATGCACTGCACGGTTTTCCAATATAACCTAAACTTTCCGCCTACGACATATTAGATATTATGTAGAGTAAATTCGATGGTTACTTATCTTATTTTTTTTTTCGCAGTTTTACCAGACGATGGAGAGCCGGCACCGAATATCGACGAATACAGTAGCATTACGAACTACGACGACTACGACACGGATACGAATTCTTCCGCTCCCTACGAGTAAAATGATTTATACATTATCAACCTGCTACACTGCATAAAACTACACGTACCTAACATGTTTTTGAATAAAATTTCTTTTTTTTTTTCTATTCGACAGAACTGACAACATGGACGTGCTTCCCCCAAAAGGAAACAGATCAAGTAAGAACATATTTCTCTTATATAAAAGAACTTAAAATATATAATAGCCAATCATATTTTATAAGTTTAATGTTAATTTTGAAAATATATATTTGTTATTATAATATCCAAATTTTCAAATTTTTATATTCTGCCGTGAAATAAAAGTTTTGGTTATACACTGTAAATATATAAATGGGTGATTTTGAAAACCGTCCAATATTTACAAACAATTTCGAAAACTTTCCAACTAACCAAAAGAAATGACCGTGGGGTTAAAAATTTTAATTCTCAACTCTCTCTCTATATATACCATATATATATATACACGAGTTTTATACTCTACGGGATCGTTATTCGAATATTCGAAAATTGTCGCGGTTTGTAAACACAACTTATACAGTAAGCAGTGTACCTATATTTTTATTTTACGGTCGGATTAACAAAACGAACCGAAATGTAAATTTCAGAATCATATAATATAGTAGTGAGTAGGATTATACATACAATTTAACTTTGAACGTTAGGATTCGTTGCAATTTTTTGAAAATCAATTGTCCATAGTACCAATGTGTTTATGGGTAAAATGTTGCAAATAGTGATGGACAATTCGATATCTCAATACCTCGATACCTTAAAAACTTATGACAGTATCGAATCTAGGTAATGTTTAGTATCAAGTTTATTATTTTATTGTTAGATATTCGAATAAATAATTTTTTTTTTTTTTTTAATTTTAAAATGGGTTTTTACATATACATTTTAAAAATATTGTTTCATTATAATAAACTAATGAATAATATTGACGGTTATTGTATTAATATTTTTATTTTTAAACAATAATGGTATCGAGTATTGAAATAAACCTGTATCGAGTATCTAATTCTAAACTGTCAATCTTAGTTGAAAACATTGTAAGCATGACAACCTAACGGTTCTGTATAGGTAATGGCTAAAAAACAGAAATCGAATTTATTTGAAATTTCCGTGAATATATAATGTTATATAATCGTTAGTTGATAATAATACAGAAACACCCTGTATGTAAATACACACCGTGTTATAATATAGTAATTATACCGGTATTCGGTGATATGATCTACACGCGTTATAAATCCAGTCTTAATTAATCCGATTATACCTACGTATAAACAATAATTCGCTGTTCGATACATTTTATAATGTTTTAATCAGTGCGTATATTATGTAGTCGAATAATAGCGTTACCCTATGTTATTATTACTCAGTTTCCTATTGGAATATTTATGTGTACAACCGATATGCGCTAGGTAATAATAATGATAGTAATTATAGATCGTGAGATTTCTTTTACTTATAGGTACCAAAATCGTTATTAATTTCCGTGATTGCATATTTTTACAGTGTATAATATTATTATTATTTGTTTTTTAAATATAACGCCGACGGCTTCGTACCTATAAAATATGGACGATAAGTGTAAAAAAAGATATAATAAAATAAGATAAAAAACGAGAACTTTTGCATAGTATTAAAGCCTTGTAGTGGCTCTCAAACGGTACTTCGAGTGTACACATCATATTTTGAGTAGGTAGGTAGGCGTTCCCAGTAATTGGGATTTAGGATAGTCGGGTAAAATGGGTATAAACATTTAAAAGTTATACTTTTTAGTTTTTTAGATAGTTATAAAAGTTTTTTTGACAGATAGTGGACTGGTGGTTTTGAATTTTTAATTCTGCTACACCACAAAAATATAGTTTGGACGCTATTGCGGTTTTGGACTAAATATCTATAATGGAATATTGAAAGTTGGGCCGGATTTTAAAGTAATCAAATTATTATTATATGAACACTTGCTCTTGAATTTCGTACTTTTTATTCCATATTTCCGATTAATACCTTTGATTTTATGAAAAACGTCGTGTCTGTACCTTAACTTGCACAATTAGCTACGTGTTCCACTCAGAATCGAGTTTGTTTTTTTTTTTTTTTTTTACATGTTTTCCTAACGATCAAAATAATGATTAAATGTATAATATAATGATATTTGTTTAAAAACCTCTCATCTTGACGCACGTATAAAATACACTCGTATACTAACATAATATTATGATCTCATCTCGAAGAGTTCAAACTAGAAAATATACACCGTCCTTGAGCCTTGTATAATATTATATTTTATTATTCGCGAAAATACCTACAATACCTATAGTCTATACGCTACATTGGTATTCAATTATTACTTTTCATAAAACGGGCGTCTAAAGTTGTTTTGTATAATATTATGACGTGTACACGATGCTATTATGTGTCCCACAGCCGTCCATAGAACGGGTACCTACCTATAACGTATTATTACTATTATCTACCTTTATATAATATTATATTCGTTATTGGTTCGATAGGTACGTACTATTCATATTATATATAAATGACACTTTTCGTTGTATACAGCATCCACGTCGACAATAGATACTCGTTTTCATTTCTCGGTGTACATGATGGTCGAGATATTTCAGTATTATATTGCGCGCACGCAGAATCGTAAAATTCGCCCAAAACAAATATTAAGTATAACTATCGTATAGCATTATAATTATCGTTATTATTACGCTTGTTAATCCTGTATAAATAGGCAAGTTGAATTTTCCCACCCAGATTGGCCATCACCAGAGTACCTTCGTTCACAAATTCATAATAGGTAAAGGTTGTTAGTAGATAACTATAATATATCTATACACTGTATTGTGGCGTGCACGTCCGACATCGCCGGATATCGTCGGATCATCGCAATTAGGCTAAATCACGCGAAAGCGGAGATTCGCACAAGAAAACAAGATTATTAAAATATGCAAACAAAATGTATAAGTACGTCGAAGAATAAATTAATTATTGAATGCTCAATGTTTTATTAAAAATGTAAAAGAAAACTCGCTATACGTGTATTAAAAAAAAAAATGTCTAATATTAATACATAAATATTAAATGTACGAGTATTATAATATTGATAATATATATGTTTCATAATATTTATGGCGAGTATATTAAACTGCTTGGTATGTATTTATTTTATTGCGTTAAAAAAGTACTGTATCTATTCTGTAACTACCATAGACAAATAAAAAAGCATTTTCAATGTTTGTGAATTTAAAATTGTAATGTTTTTTTTTTAAATATTCGATTAACCAATAGACGAAATATGCAAATTATTATATACTTAACGTTTTCGATTTGTGTATACTCATCATCGTGAATTTTTAGCTTCGTCTGCTATATGTATAAATCGAAATCGTATAGACGAATATTGCACTACGTGACCACTAGCTGTGTATTCTTATATTATGGCGATCAACGTTAAATTTCTCGGTTATTCAAAATTCTGCTGTATTGTCGACAGAATGAATGATCTATATAAACGTGTTCCGTAACACTGGAAAAAATTATACGATAGGTACTTAAAATTGTATTTTTCTGCGTATTTTATAAGCGTCCACATTTGACGATCTACATATCACATAACGATTGTATATTACTAAATTATATGAATATATTTGAATAAGTTTAAACCGATAGACGATAATACGCGGCTGGTATTTTTTTATGTATACAATTTTGGTTGCTGACATCATCCATTACAATAAACTGTTAAATCCCATATTATTATAACATTATGACATTATACATTCGTATGATGGTCCGTAATAATTTTCCGAGAGGATTATCCGTAAAAGTATATCATTTTTTTTTTTTTTTTTTTATAGAGCACGTTTCTTTCTTCTTTTTTTTTCAACACAAGTACATTTTGAGATAGTACTATAAAAGTCCTTGTGGTCATGGCAATTACTAAAACAATTAAAACGTAGCCAACGCTTTGTATGTATGTGGCCAGACCTCTGTGCTTTTATTTTTTTCTGAGTGGAGAAAGCCAGTTATTTATTAAGGAGTAGACACGGTTGATATTCATTAAAAGTATCGTCCTTAGCAAATAAGTTGAAAAGGCTATACAATTTTACTATAAAATTAAATAAAACATACCTACATAACATATACCTATGCATTATTATTATACAACATTTTTCTGCCTGTTTTTTTTTAACTGTGACCAAAATGTGTTTCATGTTATTGAAAACAAACCGAAATTTCACTTACACATCGCATCTTATCTTTATCGATATCAATACCACGTATATCGCCACCTTCACCCCAAATTCGTCCTTGCGCAGAATGATGAACTAGCGGAATCATGCTAATCAGCGAACTTCAATCAACACTGCAACAGTAATACTCATACATTCCCCCCCACGCTAAAAATGGTTCCATAGACTGGTTTCCACATCATTACATGATGACAAAATTGGCGATATGTTTTACTACATAAGGGGAAACATAAATCACTACTTGATAATTTCTCCGTTGCACGGAAAAAAAGTTGAATCATAAAAATAAGCCCCAATTAACAGAACCCCCCCCCCCCCCCCCCCCCCCACCTCCCCCCCCAAAAAAAAACATATATTCAATATTTTTCGGTTGGGCGAATAAAATACCAAGTTTTTTTTAAAAATTTTATCTAAATATTTCTGAATCTAACTATTTGAGGTCGGCCGCACCCTCGTTCTAAACTTCCACTTCACACTAATACGTCTGATATGCTTATATCATTCTCAGTCGCATCCAACTACATATTTTTCGGTCTTTTCCCCACTTTCCTCCTAAGTTTATTTTCATTACAATTATTATTGCTTCAGATTTCTATCTCCTCGTGACATGCCCAAACTATTTCAGCCTATTTTTCTCATCATTTTTACTATAAAAGTCACGTCTAAGCTATTTCTTATGTACTCATTCCTTATTATCCTAACTTCTCTCATCACTCTACTCCTCCACCTAAGCATTCTCATCTCAGCTATATTCATTCTCTGTTCTATTTTTCTCTCTACCAACCAACACTCTAGTACAACTTAGTCGGTTTTACCATAAGTTTGTAGAATTTACTTTTAAATCTCATTGAAATTCTCTTGTCACATAAATCACCTGACGCTTCTCTCCACTTTATCCAACTGCACTTAATTCTATGTTTCATATCATCATAAAAGCCACTGTTATTTTGTATAAAATATTTTAGGTACTTTAAAAACCTTAAAACTCCCAACCTCGCCTATAACCGCTTATTGTCGTTGACCGTCTTGTCCTGTTCCTCCAAACTCATAGTCTATTTACTTCTACTTATCCTTAGACCCTATTCTCCAAGTGCTACTCTACATTCCTCAAACCCATCGCTAACTTCTTCCATATTTCCTCTTTTTAAAGCCATATCATCTGCAAATATTTGCACTATGGTACCATCTCTCCCCTGTTGTCACCGCGCATATCTGAAATGAGATAGTCCGCCAAAGCCTTAGAACACCTCATACTCTCCGATAGAATTTTACACCTAACGTACCCTAATGTTATTTCTTATGACAGGGCCGAGGATAGTATAGACAAATATAAAGTGAATTCCTCCACTCTATAGAAACAATAATATATACCTACTGGAATCACCCACCTGAGCTTTCCACTAATAGATGCTCGGGGTCCTGGGTTCGATAAACCCATAGTTGGATAACCCGTAACTAGGTTTTCTAAATGGCTTAAGTGTATATATTGTATATTCTAACACATTTTATACTAAAAGTTAAAAATAACTGATTCACTATAATGTGTTTGTTTTTTTTTTTTTATTATTTTAGGCGTCATGCATTTCGTGCGACAGTTAAACAATATTACTAAAGACTCGGGCAAGTCGGTCAAGTTTAATTGCGAGGTGACCGGTGAACCGCCACCGCTCCGGATCCAGTGGTACGTGAACGAAGTGCCGCTCGGCGGCGGTGACAGTGTAGACGGCGGAGGCGGAAACGGCGAGAAAAAATCCAAACCCCGGCTGACGGTCAAACGGTTCCAGTCCAAACACAAAAACGGGCTCGGGTCCCGGTTGCGGATCAACAAGTTGGAGATACACGACACCGGGTTTTTCAAGTGCGTGGCATTCAACGGCATCGAGAAAATACAGTCCGCCGCCATACTCGTCGTCAAACTTAACCCGTTCAGTAAGTGTCCGTCGTTCACTGTACATAGTTTATGGTTTTATTTGCCGTGCATTTTTGTATACTTTTGAAAAAAAATATTGGGGAAACGAGGGCCCAGAGGCCTATACCGAAATTGTACCACGGTTTTGTTTTGGACCAAACGGGATAACATTATAAAGTCTCATATTATATTTAGTAAACACCCGTTAATGCACAGAATCTAAACATTATCCATACTATAGATACTTTATACATTTTATTTTATATGAGTTTAATATACTAATATTTGAGATGCATAAATTATAACGACTACATATAAACGTGGTAGTTGTCATATTTTATCGGTCGGTTTAAGTGAATTATATAAAATCGCACAAAACGAAGTTCTATACCATCATCATAATACATTGAAGTGACTGTATATATACACTCTTGTTATATTTTTAAGGGCGAAACAAACAACAAATTTATTATATGCGTCGTTGTCGTCACCACATTTTCAAATACACGACGACGAATACTATATATATGTGTGTATATAAAAAAAAAAAAAAAACGTATTATATAACCATCATAAACGAGTCGACGAGATTTACTTAGTATTTATGATGTAGGGAAGTAGTTTATCTAAATTATTTCGGCAAAAAGCCTCCGCGTCGAGTGCATGTGTATTATTTTCAAAAACCCAGTTCTGTAGCCCTCTTCGAATATTCTCCGAGTATACTTTTGCGTGTAAATAAAAGTAGTTTCGAGTAATTTCGCCTCTAGTTTACATGTGCGATTATTTCGTTCATATTAATAATAATTATAATTATAATACGGTAAAAGTATATATAATCGTTAAATATGTGCGCAGTGTTATATACATATAGAGTTAATTAGAAAAAAAACATCAGAACGTTAGGCTAGTCACTAAAAACGTCAGATTATTTCTCCTCTCTCCATTGACTTTATATCTATAAGTAACGAAAAACATTGATTAAGAAACGATTCTGAACTTGTAAAAAAACCGAACAACTCATGATGAACCTCGTGCTACCAAATAACAACAAAACTAAACAATTTCAAATGACTATTAATAGTTCAAAAATCGCCAGAATGTTTTGAAAATTTTACCGCCCCTAGAAATGGCTAATAGTAATTTGGTGAAAATCGCGTCTCCGTGATTATTTCTATCTGAACAACGACAAAATAAAAATATAACCATACATAACTGGAAACGTTTTCCTGACATTTTTACCCGGTTTTTCCGAATTTTTAAGAAAACTAAAAGGAAAATCAAAAAGAAACATTTCTCTTTATGCTTTAATGTACCGACTAGACAATATTTCCTACTGGAGTAAGATTTTTGGTAGAAAAATTGTTTACAGACTGGAGAAAAGAACATCGCGGTAAAACCAACACTTGCTTCGCCTAGAATCAGAAATTCAAAATGGACTTCAATAAATTACGAATATTCATCAAAAATTGTCCTTTCACTTTATCCTAAATTAATGATTATCTACGTACCGAGGTGTATAGAATGTAGAACACATAAAATATTGGATACCCGGTTTTTCATGATATATTATTTAAACTACGAAAATAAAAATCGATATCGTACCTATTTGCTTTGGTGTAATGTTGTTGGACTATCCGTTCGTTTTTCACGGCTGACACCGCTCTGCATGCTTGTTCAAATCCCGCACCATACGTATTTGAGGTTCTGAGGGTAGCAATGAAGCTAATATTTATTTTACCTAAGATACGTGTTTTTTTTTCTTTAGAAAACACCGATGCACCGATACTTTTTACGCAGTACCTTAATCGACGTGGAATTTCCGACCAGTGTTAATACTTGAACTATTTTATTTTTAACAGTTCACCCTTATATTCTTATTACTCAAAAAAAAAAACATTCGATTTGTGAAAATTACCCAAATTGTGCACATCAGACCCTGAAACATTTTTACCTGGCAATTGTTTTTCTAAAAATGTATGTTAGATTTTCTAGATTCCCGACTCCCGTCAATAAAATATACTGACGAAACATCGGTTTGAGTTTTGTTAATTTTTAGGAATTATTTGGGCTACAAGGGGAAAAAAACGACTAATATAACACTGATCAGAATCCCTTTTTTTGTTAGCGATGGTTTATTTTTGTGGTAATACGATTCAAATTATATCAGCATGTACGCACGTACAGTAACGTAACGTAGCAATAGGTACGATCATTAATTAAAACGTCTCGTATTACACAATCGAGTCGACTAAACTAGACCGCATTGCAATTAGAAGTATATGTGTATATTACAACTACGTAGAATTACATTTTTGAAAAACATCTGCTAAAATTATTTATATTCGTGCGGGTGCTGCAAGAAATTTGATGTCTAACATATTCAGTTTTCAAATTTGCAAGTAAATGGAATATTATTCAGAGACAGAAGAGTTAGAGTGAAAGGACGAAAAAAAGGATGTGTTGGATAGGGCGGCCGGGAGGAGTAAAAGTGGGTTTGGGGGTTACCTAGGTACAGCCAACGCGGTACGTGGGTTAACTGTGACAAGGACGGGGTTCCGTACATAGTAAACAAAACGAATATTTATTATTAGGCGGACACGAGGAGAAACTCTTATTGCACGGACAATCCGGGCAGGACGTCTAGTAATATTATTATATTACATTACAGAGCGGCTATATAATATTTTATATGCGTTATATTTTTTTTTATCTCGTAACTGAGATAACGCTCAAAAGAGAATACAAATTTAAAATTTTCTTTATTCCCAAAAATTAATCAATTACACATTGGTGTAATATTATAATATTTATACTTAGCCAAAAAAACATTATACTTATCGAAAATTTCGTTTTACAGGTCACGATGAATCCAACATTGACATGCCACACTTTGGATTTTCAAACCAGAACCCAGTGGTGCTAGAAGGGTAAGTGTTATCGATAATCTTTTAGAAGAAAAGCCAAACCGGTATCCTCGAAAATATTCTCATCTTTATATTTTGTCATCTATGTTTAAACTCCAATTTTATCCTAAACGCCACAATTTGAATTCTAATATATTACGTACGCAGGTAATGTCGACCGTTATTTTAATTAGATTGAGACAGCGAGACGACTGTAAATGCGAGTTTCTCTTCTTATTAATTCAATTCCGAAAATTCAGATTAATAGTGTTTGTGTAAACAAAATTATTGAACAATAATACATTATTACCTACTGTATGACTGTGGACAACGCATATTATTTTAAATTTACCGCTCGTTTGATAAGGCGGTACCAAAGAGCTTCTAAGTAGTACGCGCGTTCCCATTAAAATAGATAACAATGATGTGATAATACAAAGCAGCGCACGCGCACCAATTTGTATACAAAATCATTTTATTATCAACTTGTTTGATCTGTAATTAAATATTAATAAAATATAAATCAGTATTCATCACAGAACAATAACAATATTTTTAATTTTATTCGAGAATATTTTTCGTAATAGTTATTTCGTATTACTTTTGATTCTGGAAAAAATGATAAACTCGTTTTTTTTTCAACTGGCATTAATCCTATCTCGTACACATTTTTTTATACTATTATAACGTTAAATTCAACAATGATTTCGCCTATTTTTCTATTCATCACAATAATAATTTGTACATGTGCCGAAACTCTTGTTGAAAGGTAAACCTACTAAAACATTGTGGTCTCGATCACTTTGAAACGCTTAAAATTTGATTATCATTTTTATTTTTTTAACTTGATTATTGTTTCAGAGAAACGAAACTAAATTCGCACATTGGACTCAATGAACAGCAGAGCTCTCTCGACAGCATTCCACAGCTTAGTCAGGTGCTAAAATATCCGATATGCCAAGTAAGTCCACTATAAGTATTACTTTATGGAATCATTTTTGACATTTTGTATGAGTTTGATTACTTTTATCAGGGTACTACGTACAATATTCTATAAACGATTAAAGGCTTCGAGTAGTATTACCAAACGTATATTTATTTGGTAACTACATTATATTATATTGAATTTTAATATATTCATATATTGTATAAAATATACATAATAATATAATATATTATTTTAACTTTTATACCGATATACAATATTATTTCATTTTATATTTTATCATATTTTGTGTGGCTATTGTACAATTGCATACAATATAAAAAACATTTATATGCTATACTGATTTTCCAAAAGCAATTAAAATATATAATGATGATATCAGTACTTAATAAAAAGAATTAGTGATTTAAAATAAATATCATGAAATATGGATATAGTGCCTACTGTGTAGGTCAGGAGGCTACAATCCAGTGATTTATAGTTATTTTTGAAATTTAACGCGGTAATAAAAAATAATTGTATCAAACTGTTTGTGGGTCATCAGTTCATCGCACTTCGTCGCTAGCACAATAATAATATTGTTTAATCAACGGTTTATTGAAATAATTTAAAAGCCTTAATAAAAATAAACTAAAGTTATTATTTTTTAATTAGTATAGATATCAAAAAAAAAATATTGAATTTTTGAGTTAACTTAATAAATCATTATATTATGTTAATATAGCTTTTGTTTTTGTTTCACAGCAAATGGGTATAAGCGATAGTAAAATAATTTAAAAACATTCTCCAGTAATATTTGAAATTTCAGGTTTTAAAACTAAATAAAACAAAATACATTCATATTTTTTTAGTTAACACTGAGGCAATAAACAAGCATTGAAATTTGTATGCCCTTTTTTTTTTTTAAAAAAAATATCAATTTTTAAAATATATTTTATGTAGTAAAGAGTGTCACTGGAAATAATTTCATCGTCTCTATATTTCTAAATTACTCTTTACTACATTTTTAGTTAAATTTTTTCATCTGACTTGAGTACTTGGCATATTTTAAATTTCAATAAATGTTTTTTAAAATTATATAAATAATTATTTATGTTATTAGTTTAAAAACGAACATGTGAATTTACTATATTACTATTTGTAATAGTTTTTTATTTTGTATTTAATTTTTTTTTCACACAATTCATCAAACAAATTAAAAAAGAGCATAATTTAGGGTATGTTTTACAATTAATAAAGATGATCACTTACATTTTATTCTTGAGTCTGTTTTTTTTTTTTAATTTCTTAAATTTTTAAGACTGTTATACATATAATATATTGCAATGGCAAAATAAATTAATAGTTTGTGAATGACAAATAAGTTTAAAAGAATATATAACATAACATTTAATTTGAAAATATGGTGTATCCTTTTGAATGTATTTTAAACTATTTGGTATATAGATTTTATATTTATTCAATAATTTTCACTAACTTCTCTTTTCAAAGTGTAACTAATTGGGAGAAAAAGCAAAATGCGTAAGTAGGTATTTAAATGTAGTGTTTTCTTACACTAGTATGAAGTAATTTATGCAATGATGAATCATTGAAAACAAAAAAAGGATTTTTAACAGAATGCAGTAAAATATTTGTTGATAAATTTAAATTGAAAATTATATTAATTTGCAGCTTAAAAACTGTTATAAAATAAATTATGACATTATAGTTATTGTTTTTTTTTCTGCCCCAACTTATGTGGAATATAAACATTGAACCTAATTTTAAGAAACCAATACAAATTTGTCCATGTAAAACCAAGAAAAAACTCAATAATCATAATACTCTAGATTATAAAACAATTTATAACAACATATTAGGTATCTAAGTGTTAGTATTTATGCTATCTATTAATATTATGCATTAGTGATGACAGTAAAAAACGGATAAATATTAACGAGTGATTTTGTTTATAAGATACCATAATAGTGCATTGGCTTTAGTGTAAAAATCATTTTTATTCAAATAACCATAGGTACTTGTAATATATTTAATGGCTATCATGTAATCCCGAAAAATGATAGAATTTGTTAGATTCCTTTTGGCAGTGCTGTTCTCTTGTCTGGTCCCATTTGGTACAATATTCCTGGAAATGTCTACAGGTTTATCTTGACCCGTAATGTAAATATCGTCGCTAATTTCACACAACAGTTGCTGCAAATCGTCCTTACAAGTCATAAAATTGTCAAAAAAAACGTTTTCAAGAGTACCGCTTGTGCTCGCGTCCTGGAGTAACATTTCGAAACCGGCAGAAACCCTTTGCAGTATTTGATATGAGATTCTTAATTCATTAGGAAATGAACGACTGGCCATCCATGATACCGAAAAATTGTCTTCAGCGTTTTTGAGCAATTGCGGAGTCATCCAACTGTTACTTATGTTCATCCAACTTTGATAATGTTTAATATAGTCAACATTGAAAGTATTTTTGATGTAATTCATTTTGAATACATCAATATTATTTTGGCAAATGTTTGCTAAAGTCAAAATACGATTCATGATACCGCTATCTGTATCATCATAATCGTTGTCCTTCGTTGAATTATAACCACACGGGTTAATCCAAAATGGTTCATCGTCATTTGTGGTCACCCCATTAGGAAACGATGGGCAGACAACATTTGTTGTTGTAAAAAGCAACATAATAAGCAATGATAATAAGCTGGTACACATTGTGGTCTTACTTCAAACTTAAACTTTAATTTTTTTTTGGAAATAGAACTGAACAAATAGGTAAATTCTAAAAAAATACTCTAACCTTGTCAACTATTAAGTTTTAAAAATTTCAAATATATTTTGGAAAGAAAGAACACACATATGTTTAATGTTTTTCAGGTGGTTTCACAAAGGCCATAATTTATTCGTATAATCTACTGTATTGATAACTAATTATATTTTTTAAATATTTAAATATTTAATTGCAATACACTCAGAAACGTTTTTCGTTTGTAATAATTTCTGCAGCAGCATTAAAGCAAATCAAATTACCCTATATTATATTATATGCTTATTTTCCCCCTATTTTTTTACTGTCTACAATCTTGGCCAAATGAGGCATAATGTTTACACATGAATACAAATAAATACATAGCCGGGACAATAATAAGCTATTGTCACTCATTATTTTAATTTATTATTATGTTTGAAGTATTCATACTTATTATAAATTAAATTAACATATAGGAATACCAAACATAATAAACATAGTGTATATTACTAGTATGTCAATCTTCGTAATTTAAGTTTTTGGCTAATTAATTAATTATAAAATTAAAACAAATACAAAAGACATGACATGACTTTCCAATGCCCTTATGAACGATTTTAGTATTTAAGTTTTTATTTTTATTTCACTCATGGTGATAGATGACAGTATTATATTTATGGTGTTTACTATCATATGATCTGTTGTACTTTCAACAGTCTAGCCAGACTCGCACAATAACAGTTTTATAACGAAAGAACTTTGTAACACTAAATTATCAATATATGAACGATTGTTTACATTTATCTAATTTCTGAGGCAACTCTCGTGACAATTCTTGCACTAGTCTGAAAAGTTCGAAAGCACAGATCAATACACAAATATGAACTGTTTAAAAAATTTAAAACAATTGACAGAAATAGTTTTCTGAATAAATTTTATAATTGTTATACAAAATTATATTAATTAATTAAATATTCTTAAAACTTTTATAACTTTAAAATAACATCTAATAAAAAAGAATAGGCTGTTTTACAAACTAATAGAAGATTATGAAAATAATCTTTGCCGTACATTCCAATACACTATGTATTCCGTTTATTTTTATTCTCATTCAAATGGTTGATAGTTACAACAGCAGTGGCAAACTTTTTGAAATCATTTTTAACGGGTATGCTAAATATAAAATTAATTAAAAATAACACGTTGACACAAATGATTATGAGTTGAATGTCAGTACTTGTTTGAAACTGTTAACTATATACATTGTGTAAACAGCTCCGATTCTTCCATCAGAATACTTCAATATATTTATTTATGTAACTAGAGTGAATGTTCATAACTTATGTTTCACACAGTAAAAAATTGTTTCATGAAAAAACTGTCATTGTATGAGTTATAGCAACTATTGTCGACTAGTTTACACCATGGCAGTTCCATGATAGCAGCTGTCGTGTGTTACAGTCACCATGTAAATGCACCTATATTCATAATATGATATGTAATCCAGATTTTATTTGTACAGAGAAATATACTATATTTGTTACTTTAATATTTTATTATTTAAGATTAACAAAATATAGTTCCAAATAACATACTTTGCTGTAATTTAAGTGGATTAATAATGATGGAATGCATTATTTTGTTTTAGATATATCAGGGTTCACATTGTTCAAAATACCTCCAAGGCCAGAATGTGTATATACCCGCTGACTCTTCTCAGGCTCTTATCGAAGGAAATCTGACTTCAGCTTTCCAAGTGATAACACATTCTGAAGATCTATCACCCAGCTGTGAGAAATATGCATACAGCTCCATTTGTTACACTGCGTTTCCACTGTGCAGAAAAGATAGAACTACCCCTCAACCGATGCTCATATGCCAAGAGGTTTGCTTTTCACATAGAGTAAACTGATTCTTACATTTATTTATTACTTTTTTATTGTTATAGGACTGTGAACTTTTGGAGAACGATATATGTAGTCAAGAGTATGCTATTGCCAAAAAACATCATTTACTTGGTCGTGTTGTTCATCTGCCTAATTGTTCAAGTTTGCCAAAAACAAATTGTTTTGAACTCGGTATCGAAAAACCAGAAGTCAATGAAGGTTAAATTATAAAAATTAATTTATTATTATACACTAATTGAACATAATGAAAAATTAATTTCTAGATGAAAAATGTTATTGGGGTCGAGGAGGTTCTTATAGGGGCACGACATCATCGTCTCAAAACCTATCTTGTGTACGGTGGAATCAACAGTTTTTAATAAAAACGTCTGAACATAAGGAACTTCAAGGCGGTCATCATTATTGTCGTAATCCAGGGAATGAAGAAGATGAACCATGGTGTGTAGTTGAAATACCTGATACAAAACTAATGAAAAAAATGATGTGCGACATCCCACATTGCAGTAAGTTACATTTAATAACGAAAACCATGTGTACAATTTTTTTAAAAAAACTATATGTATTGGTTTCAGTGAGAACTCTACAATTACCAATATTTATCGTGAGCACAGTTAGTATTTCTTTATTCATGGTGCTGGTCGTGATGATAATCTGCTGTATTCGAAGAAAAAAAAATAGAAGGAATTCAGCAATTCGTCGGCGGTTGCCACCTTATGCAAATCAAAAAGTAATTGAATATATTAATAATTAATACTTAGTATTTAATATGTATTTAAAATTTACAGCAAGATATCGTAAAGAGTAAAACCAATGGATTAGAATTGTCATCATTGATACCAGGCTCAAGTGCATCTAGTCAAAAATCAGATAAATATTCTAAAGTACGACAATATGCTTTGTGTGAAATCACATTCTTACAAGAAATCGGCGAAGGTGCTTTTGGTAAGTTGTCATTGTCTTTTAAAATACATAACAAATTATAATAAAAACACATACCTATGCAACAGAGCTCCACCACTAGAGTCAAATTTTTATTACAATATTTTATGTTTTTTTTTAATTTCATAATGGAAAGGAATTGAATAATAAAAGTTTTCTCAAAATTTTTTGCTACTATAAAAATAGATGGTGGAACTCAGGGGTTAGAATTTGAAACCACCAAAAGACATTCTTGATACTTACACCATGCATATACAAAATGTTATATCCTTGATTTTATTTAAAAAGTTTTTAGAGGTCTGTAAAGCTAAAAAACTCCTCCCACAACCAAGTTCATATTAATATTCAATCAAAACTTTATCACTTCAATCTGTCTACCAAAACCTAACTCTCGAGGATCAACTCATTTGGTCGAAATGGAGCTGCTATAAGTGTCCAAATGTACCATGAAAAAGATATTAATATACAGAATAATTAACTTAACATAAGACAATCATTATCTCAAAAAGTATTTAATTTTTTAAAAAATTTGAGAAATAAGTAGCTCTACAATGTTACATTTCAGTTATTTTTTCGTCTTTATTTTAAAGGATAAAACTATTATCTACTTTTAATTTTCAAATTACAATTTACACTTAAAATTCCAAAAATAGATGGAGTATTAGTTTACATATATTAAAAAAATATTAAAATTTTCGGATTTCTATCTACTCATTTACAAGATATTCCACTTATAAGTTTAGAGAGGGGGAGAGTAGTAAAACACTATTAAAACGCAGTGCGCCGTTTCACCACTTATATGATGCACCACTACTCTCCTTCCGCTAAAACTTAAAAGTGGAATATCTTGTTAACAAGTTTATGAAAATTTAAAATTTTTAATATTGATTGCCATTTGAAAATTAGAAATAGATATTATAAAATTGTAGAGCTTCTTGTTAATTTATTTCTTATATTCTTAAATCTTCTAAAATACAAATTCTGAAGATTAGGTTAGGTTTACTACTTTCCGAAATAGTGAGCGTATTACATTTTGTTGATCACTCTGTATACACAGTAAAGTGCAAAAATCTATTTTCTGAGAAAATTCAACATTATATTCTTTTTAAAAAAAAAAAATAGGTAAAGTTTATAAAGGTCAAGTGCCCAATGACATGGGAACTGTAATCATGGTCGCCATCAAGACTCTCAAAGAAGGGGCCAGCGCTAAAACAGCAGCAGACTTTAAACGGGAAACTGATTTGATGGGAGAACTAAGACATCCAAATGTCGTTTGCTTGGTTGGCATGTGTTCGCAACCGGCGTGTTTACTATTTGAATATATGGTTGGAGGCGATTTACACGAATTTCTCATGGCACGTTCTCCACATTCGCCTAATTCTCCGGTAGCACCACCGCTAAACCAGGCAGACTTTATGTATATCGCCACGCAGATCGCTTCAGGTTTGTACATTTATTATTTGTATTATTTCTCAAAAACAAGTAATAAAAAGTATTTCCTTTTGAATACATATTTTAGGCATGGAGTACTTGTGTGGTCATCATTACGTACACAGAGATTTGGCCGCTAGAAATTGTTTAGTTGCTGAAAATCTGACTGTGAAAATATCAGATTTTGGATTGTCAAGAGATATTTATTCATCTGATTATTACAGGTTAAATAAATTTTGATTCATTTTTATTTGAAATAATTACTAATAGTTATAATTTTTCCAGAGTACAATCTAAATCATTGCTCCCTGTCAGATGGATGCCACCAGAGTCAATTTTGTATGGGAAATTCACTACAGAGTCAGACGTTTGGAGTTTCGGAGTTGTATTGTGGGAAGTGTATAGCTACGGTTTACAAGTAAGTGTTTTTTAATCCATATTTAATTTAATTTAGAATTTAAATCCTAAAAATGTTGTACAGCAATCATGTTACAACTGTGTTAGGTTTTATTTTTATATTTTAATATCTGTGATTAAAGTCTATTATTTCAACCTAAACACCATAATTTGATTATTCTAATTAAATTGTACGTCTTCTTATAAAGTTATTATAGCTGTTTTATTGACTATATGTTTTTTCTTCAGCCCTATTATGGATACAGTAATCAAGAAGTAATTGAAATGATTCGTTCGCGTCAATTACTTCCGTGCCCGCAAGAATGCCCATCGCGCATGTACTCTCTGATGATGGAGTGTTGGCACGAAGCACCTGTGCGTCGGCCCAATTTCACAGAAATCCATTCCAGACTCAGACAGTGGGCATCCATGTCTGTGTCTGCAGCTCCGACCATGACGTACTCTATGGTACGCCCCGGAAGTCAATCAGACCGTACAGGTTCATCTAATGTGTCGTCTACATGTAGACCAGTTAACATTTAAATTGGTTGTAATTTGTTTTTTTTTTTTTTTCATGTATGTAGAAATCCCCTCGTGTTTTTGTATATATTATATATATGACAATTATCATACAAATTATTTGATAATAAAACAAAAATACTTTTTTTTTTTTTGTCGATTCACATGGTGTATAAATAATTTTTTTTTTATTATTATTTTTTTTTATGTTCATACAGAAGAAATTAATTTAAAGACTGTACAATTTGTCATTTGTGTTGATTACTATACTCTCTCGTCTTATTTATTTATTATTAATTATTATAAGATTTATTTTGAATATTTTCTCATCTCGGAAATTCACTTGGTCGTAAAGAACAAATAAGAGATTATTACTACTCTACTTTCAATGGAATTTTCTTCATTTATTTTTTGTCAGATCAATTAAAGTTTTGTAATTAATATTATATAAAATTGACATACCTATCTATGTTATTATTCAACGAAATATATTCTAAAAATATTGTTCTATTCACTTTCATTCTGAATAGACAATTTTTGGAACAAAATCATTTTATTACCTGAATGTATAATAATACAAATTAATTTTCTAAGATTTTGATCACTTAATTGTTTTCTATACACAATTCAGGCACATGTTGAATGTGATTCTGGAACACACCTAGAATGATATTACTCTTCATTTCACAAGAATTATTTGTAATATGTATCACAAGAGTTTAGTTTGTGCCATAAATCTGTCAAACCTTAACAACTGTTGTTCAATGATTATTTTTTTTGAATCGTTACCTAACGGTTATAAGTTTTTGTCCGTATTACTTATTTTATTAGGTATATAATATTAAGTTTAAGCATTTTTTTTCATTGTACATACACGAGCAAATCCGTGTTTTATATGAGTTATAATATTGTTTCGATTGTATAATAAATATTAGTGTATCGATACCCAGTAATATGAAAATTCTTTAGAGGATAATTAAGTTTTTTCGTTTTTGTTTTCATTACAAAATTGCATATAATAATAAGCATTTTGAATTATTATATTTTTTTTTTTTTTTTTATACTCGTGTATATTGTAACGGGACACTCTAGTCTACTTAATGTTTATAGTGTGTATACAATACTTAAAATATAAAGACTGTTGGAAATTTTTTCAAACAAACCGTCATATTGATTGTTAATTTTTTTTTTTTAATCCTGAAAATATTGTAAATATGTCCTATTGAAAAAAAATGAAAGAACTTATTACTAGGGACAGGCTTCTTTGCAAAATAATGGAATAAATATAATGTATGATAAAAATATAACAAAATTCAAGTGTATGTTACCTATAAGAGGCTGCACGGATAATTCCTGGCTCGGTCTAATTTGTGCATATACAATTTTCCAGTACAATTTGAAAAATATTGTCCAAGTCTAGCTCAGCAAAAAATTTTAACTGGAGTATAAGTTCCAACTTGAAATAAAGATGTTGATCGAAATTCAACCACACCCGGATTTTTGGCCGAGCATGACGGTGAAGTCTACTAGTTAACAAAATTAGAACATCCGTATTGATATCAAACTGTGTAGTAGTTTCGGAAAGACTAAAGATCACCCATTTAATTAACACTGGAAGATAGGAAATGACGTATCCATGTTTACCTGTTGGTATCTGGTTAAAAAAAAAATGTAAGAAATAATCCCCATAACAAAAGGCCTGGCTCGTGATAAAATTAACATTTAAAAGCTCGACTCAGTTTTGATCTAAATCTAAAGAGCCCTGTCTAACCGTTGCAGGTTTTTAGTTTTTGCTGTCTATACAAATTTAAATTAAAGCCTCCAATGTATGTCATCAACCATCAGTCCTTCTCTTCAACCGCATAATTTTTTTGAAGTAAAAGTAGTATGGGAGACTTTTCATTGTTGATTGAATATTTCCTATTTTAAATACCATATTGTATACGTAATTTTATAACCACATTTAATCTGCTCTGGTATGGGCAAATATTTTTTAGTCTGTCGCATACATTTTGTATAGGATAATATACAAAATAGCACCTTGTGTGACACCAATCCAGTGATACAAACAGGGGGGTAGGTATAACCTTTTGAATACATATATATAATGTAATTGAATAAAATGGACAAACAGAAAATTAAGTTTAATAAGTATATACATACTAATGTTATGACATCAGATATTTTATGTCCCTTATTTGTTGCTCACACTGACACACAACATATCAGTGGTGCAACAAGAGGGGGGGGGGTTGCTTTGGATGTCTGAGTGTTTTAGTCTTATAAAATATGTTAAAAAACAAATTCTGTTTTAATGTAAACATCATGCGACACATGTACATATATATTAATATCATAGATGTAGTGGATTTCCCATATTAATATGAATTTATGAAATAATGAATTGATGACTATCAACATTCACGGTTTTCCAGTGATCCAATGATATGTAGGTATGTTGTACTTTACCCCCATATGGGAGTAATAATAATAATAAGAATAACTCATAAATAGGTATACCGTATACCTAGGGAATAAATTGTTTATGTTTAGTAAACAATTTTTAAATTTTCAGTGGATGGATGGGTAGTTAGATACATATAATTATAAGCTTCTACACCACTGCTCTAAGAACTCCAGGCACCTATCTTTAGTTCGGTATTAAAACTAAAAAAATCTTTTGAAAGCAAACACCATCAATAATATATAATTCTATAGATGTTTCCATTGGTGTTTTTAATGGTTTCTGTATTGTAGTACATTTTAGGTTCTAAACAAAACGAGTAATGTATTGGTTTTACAACGATATTTTTTTCTGTCTGTAAACATCTATTCTACCAAAAATTTTACTCAGATTTTCAAATGTAGCATTTTTTCTAAAAGAAAATCTGACTGAGGTGGTACTTATGAGGGGGGGTCATTTTTTTATTTTACCACGGGTTTTTCTTAATAAATGTAAAAACCGGGAAAATTTAAAAATGTATTATATTTAAATATTGTAAACTGTTATAAATGCCTTTCAAAATATGTATAACTGAACTCCACTGAAAATCGTTTTTCGTTAGTAATGATTAATCTTTGCATACAGATATACATTAAATTCTCCCTCCACCTTTCTAACTTCTCACCTACAACAATGGCCCACCCATCATGTATTGCAGGAAATCATAATATTACACTGACACTTATCATTTCATAAATAATAAGCATTTCAAAGGGATATTGAATATACAAATATTAGGGTATTAATGGTAAACTAAACACAAAAAACCTATAATATAATTGTGTTATATTTAATATAATAAATTATTACAATTTTATAAAAAATCATTTATCCAATCCCCACTCGGCAAATGGTGGATACATTGACAAGTATTTTATGAACTAATGATTCTAGAAAAAATGGAAACATTTTAATATATCAAATTTAAAAGTTTTAATTTATATTACCAATTTCTTGCGATGTCGATACTTCTGATACGGCGCAGCGAATGTCATATTACATGTTGGACATTTATAAGGTGCCAATAATGTGTGGACATTATTTATGTGATACTTTAAAGTCTTATTATTTTTAAATGCTTTCTTACATAAAGTACATCCTATATTTGTTGTCTCGTGTGAATATTTTTCATGATCATGAAGTGATGATTTGTACGTAAATGCCTACAGCAGTTTCATAACTGTTAGTCAAATAAATATATAACAGAACTGAATATTTGTATTACCTTATCACATTCTTTGCATTTATATATGTCTGGTAACCCGGTATGTATTTGATTGTGCCGTATTAATGAATCTTTTCTGTTAAATATTTTTGGACAATAGTTGCATTTATGGGCGCCTACTTTGTGACTAGCTAAATGTGTTTTATACCACGACTCGTATAAAAAAGGCAATTGGCACACATTACAATATTTGGGATTTTCTAAACGTGCATCATAAGAATCTTCTTCATTCAAAAAAAAAAAAAAAATATGTATATACATATATTAAAAATGAATATTTTACATAGGTAACCTATATTATATTTATTACACATAATGGAATATTACCTGTAATAACATTACCATCTCTATCAGATTTACTATCTTTTGTTGTGTCTTGCACAGTCGGTACTACGAGAGTAGTGGTGGAAACTGATGTCATTCTTTCTGAAATAATTGAAAAAAACAAATTAAACAAATTCAATCAATTATTGTACAATATATATATACAGTGATTTTCTCTAAAAAATGGATTGTAAAGAAAATTTTAATTCTGTTTTTAGATTCTAAATATATAGCGAAGAATGTACTGGTTTTACAAAGATGTTTATTTTTTTTTTTATGTGAACACTTTCTATCAGAAATCTTACTCCAACGTGTACAATGTAGACCCTTTTATGGAAGAAAATTTTCTTGCACTGGTACTTTAGGGAGGTCATTTTTTTGATTTTCCAGGCAGTTTCTCCAATACAGGGGTGATAATGAGAAAAAAAGGGAAAATGTATGAAATACATTAGTAAAATACTAGGATTTTATTTTTTTCTGTGGGCAACTTTTCTACCAGCAATTTAGCTCAGATTTACAATGATAGCCCTTTTTTTAAAAAGGAAATCTGACTGGTAATTTAGAGAGGTAATTTTTCGATTTTCCCAATTTTATTTTTTAACAAATGTGAAAAACCAAAAAAAAAAAAAACTGAAAAATGTACAAAATGTAAGTATTAGTTGAAAAATATTTAGGCTTTTTATTTTGCAGTGAACAACTTTTTTACCAGAAGTTTTACTGAGAATTAATCAATTTTTCAAAAAAGAAATCTGACTGGGAAGGTCATTTATAGCAAATTATTCCCAGCTAATGTGAAAAACCGGGAAAAAACATGAAAAACGTATGGAAAACAGGGAAAATAGGTATAAACCAAAACAAATATTATTAAAGAAAATAAATAATTCCTATTTAATTATTTTACCATAGTATGACATAAATATATTGTTGACAATAAACTATAAACATGACTATAAACATAACTCCGCTCAGAATCGTTTTAGTAAGCAATGGTTTATCATTGCTTACAGATACAAATTAATTTCCCCTCAATATCCTACCTTCCCAAATTTTTACCAACAACAGTGACTACACCCATTGTGCGAGATAAGAACGTTTTTTTTTTTTTAAAATAATTAAATGATAAATCTTCCCAACTACTCCAGTCTCAACTTTTGAACAGTTAAGAATGGTAAATTTGATATTAGTGTTATGCATATCAAATTTCTAGAAAAAATTATCAATTCAAATCTGTGTTCAAAAATTAGGAGTTTCTATTAAAAAAAAAAAAAAAAAAAAAAAGTATATACTTAATTAATGTATACGGAGTAGGGTTAAAAATTAAAATTAATTTAAAAATTGAGTTAATTTAAAAATCCGTATCTCATTCATACGGCTGATCCCCAGTGTAAATTAACCTATGAAACTTTAAATTGGCCATATGTGAAAATAATTTCAAACATCAGACTTATAAGGTTTCTGGCCAGTATGAGTCTTCATGTCTGATGAAATCAGAACTTTTTCTTAATGATTTCTGACACAACACATTTATATGGGTCATCTTCAAACAAAAATTAATTCCACAGGATTGATTATGTATTTTATTTGTATACATAATGAAATCAATTAAATTAATTTCTTTTTTTATTCGGATACTGTTAAATTGTTTTGTAACTTCTTGAGTTTGCATATTATTTACTTGAAAAAATATAATGATCATTAATTACATCCAAAAAACACACAAGATGTTTGTACAATACAATGGATAGTATGTACATAATAATAAAATGTTTTCCAAAGATTAGTTTAAGAGGTATTTTTTTTTGACACTCAGTTTAGTTCTTATACGCACTATGCTATATCACAATATCCGAATTCGATAGTAATAAGGATTTGTAATGGGCGCAATGGTACATAAAACACAATTAGCGCATAACACACAGAATAACAAAAAAAAAAAAAAAATATACTCATAAATTATATTTTAAAATTTTAGTATTAGAAATTTGATAGAATTACATACAATTATTATAATTTTATCTGTATTATATGACTTATGCATTCCTATTTCTATACATGAAATTATATTTAGGGAATAATGACAACACGCCAGTAAATCATTCAAACCGACACTGCGGATATAGTTTCCCTTTATCAATCGCCATGATTAATAGATTTTTTATGGTTTTTTTTTTTTTTTTATATACGTCGTGTTAAACAAAATTAAATTTTCAAGAGAACCATCAAATCGGGGTTCACAAATTTAAATTCAAGTGTTTAACGACGAAAATTAAAGGCTCAAGAATGCAAAAACATGACAAAAAACGATTTATAATATTATTAACTAGCCGATTATGTGACGTTTGATCTCGCCGTGAAAACGTTGGTAATTCAAAATCGCCTGTTGGTAAAATCTTAGCATCTGGGTGTAAACGAATAGTATTTTTTAACAAGTTCGTAAAATCTTGTATAAGTATATTTTTATGTGTATATAGAAAAGATACGAACACGTCCTGAGTGATTATCGGTACCGTCAATGCTAAAACACGAATAATACGACTAACGCGTTAGATGAACCGCACGGATACACAATAGATGCATAGATAAATTATCCGTGCGTATATGGCGCCTACAATTAGCGATATGATTAACCGCCAACAAGACTTCACCGGATCTAACAAAATAATCGCTCAACCCGGATGGCGGATCTAAAAGTCTTGAAATATTCGCGAATCCCAACTCATTATCACCGAGACGATAAATTATTAAACCGGGTTTCCGATGTGAATAACAAATCGAAATTAAAATGCAACGCAGAACTATGAAAAACAGTCAAATATTCACATTTTGAAAATGAACGTGCCGTTTTCGAAATGTTGAGATTTTATTTTCTATGGTAAAATCCCGAATCTCAGGGACTTTCTGAATCAATACGATAAAAACAAAAAAAAAAAAAAAAGAAATTGAAAACCAATAAGCAATATTTTATTTTTCTTTATAATATTATAATTAACGGCTTGTGAAAATAACTGAAAAAAAAGTGCCCCGTATAACGGTAAAACGGATTTATACCGAAACGTAACCAATAATCGAATAAAACACAAATTATTTTGAATAATGTAATTTTTTTTTTTTTTTTTACTAACCAATGACCAATGTAATAACGAGATCGATGGATATTTTTAGACACTTGAATGTAATAACTTTTATTAATCTTAGTATCGATCACTATTAACCATTACGTATAACTTGTACGATTTAAACATTACAATAGACAATTTAAGAATATCTCCTGAACTCGACTCTGGCAGAACACGAATCCGACGTCAACAGTCCATAATTAATAACCGTGTATTTAATTGTGCAGGTGGTGGCATGGAAGGATTACCATCGCATTAACCAGACAAATCGAAAAAAAAATGATGGTCTGGTGGTGTAACCAACGTTGAAAAGTAAAAGTTTTATTACGGGATATAACGGGAAATTTTGAACGTCAATATGGGCTCGGACGGTGATTCCGTTATCGCGGGAGCACAACCGCCGAGTCGTCGAGTGTCAACGTTGAACACGATTACTCAACGTGAAGTTTGGGCGGGGTTCATAAACGTGTGACGTGGGGTACCATTCGCCCGAGAGCCGGATTTCAGATTTTGAAATTTTATTTTTTGGATTCCTTGAAAATAAAATCACTACAAATACAATTCAATAAACACCTATACAAAAACAGTTTTTGCTCAACCTGGAAAAGGACTTTAAGAACCTCATAACATCTCCGTGCAAATTTCAATGCGTTATTGCTAAAAAACCGATGAAAAAAAAAAATCAACGCCTATTTTTAAACCGGTATGCTTATCCGAAGTTGATTTGCATTCTGTAAGACCGTAAACAATGCCAATCGACCTTGACCTCCGTCAGCGTTCCTGGTGCGGGTAGAACTGCTCATAAGGCAAGTAAGAGGCGTGGTAAGGGGCAAGTGTAAGGCGTAAGAGAAATTTGTTCTCAACCGCCCGATATATCGCTACCCGTACACTGCATTGGCCGAAAGGTCCCCGTGGTCCGAGTACGTCGAGAACGTCGTCGTCGTGTGATCGTACGCGGAGATCCTGGCAAATATTTTAGGGGGGAAGGGGCATAAATATTTTGTAGCATACGGGACGCCCCCCCCCAAACAATTATCCAACGACAAAAGTGTACAACAGAAATACTGCATATACTAACCTAATCGTTTGTTACAAATATAACACATTTATTTAACTATAAATATTAATGTATTATTTATTATTAACAACGAATTGACAAAAAGAACATAATTCAACCGATGTTCTAAAAATACCACCGTTTTCCATGTCAATTTTTATTCGATCAATACCCGCTCAATTCTCCGATTTGGTCAGACACGACCGATTAGAAAGTCCGTAGCAAGTTATTTATGCATAATATACACACGGATTAATATTAGATTAAATTATTGTAGATTATTTCTGAGATTATGTTTCAAAACGTAAAACATTCGGCATTTAATACTCGGTCATCACTTAGAGGTATACATTTTGTAAAAATATGTTGTCTTAAAAAAATTGTATAATTTCTATGTATACATATCAATATTATTGAAAATAGGTGCATATTACTTTAAGAGGACTTGAAAAACATTTTAGGAGACTAAGCCCCCGCAAGTCCCTCATCCCCGATCTCTGCGTAGGATGCTTCTCTACAGAACTTAACAATAATATACAGAATATCTTAAGTGTAGCGCTGACATCTACAGACAGTGCGTAACTTTCAAACTGAAGAAAGGCAATTCTGTCTACGTCTTGCAGAAGTTTTATAGGCAACAGTGTGCGTGCTATCCGTAGACTTAAACATCTATCTTACAGACAGAACATTCAACACGAAAACGCTTTTCGGTGGTTGGTTTCATTTCGGCGACAGAAACACGTGATATGATAAAAGCAGTGTTTTAATCCTCGGAGTGCAAATTTGCTCTTTCTTACACTAGGTTTTATATTATTCTACCTCTCTTGATCCGTTCGGACCAACCACGCTTCCCAGTAGTTCTCAGGGTGAATGTTTCATCTAGATGCATAAGTCAATAGTGCTATCATCAAGTTTTAGCTACGAGACAAGGTATTTCAAAAGTGGAGTGTCGCGCCCCAGAGAGAAATGAGGGGTGTTATGTGTGATAACCAACTTATGGGTATCATAAAGGAAGTCTGTCTTTCAAACAGTAAATGGTTCAATGCCTTAGAAGCATCAATGAATTCAATGAGTGATCATGAAGCTGGTGAGCACAGCAAACTGGCCGACACTGTAGATTTCAAATCTGCATTGAGAATAAAATTATATAGACTCTACCATACATCCGAGACGCCTATCCAAAAACAGTTATTGTGCAATTAGTCCCATCACTGAGTCTGTATGTTGATAGTCAATCTTTTTCGAGGATGTTAATAAAATTGCTTATCGGTTGTAGATAATAACATCGAGCAGGCATCAGCGTAATGGAAAGGAGTGAAAACCGCAGCTTCATTCTGAAGGCGATTGTCTCTATTTTTGTGTTTATTATGTTTAAGTTTTATTTAAATATTTTATTGTTTGTTAAATGTCTCCATCTAATGCATTATTGAATTATAAATTGTACCTATATGTTAAGGAATTAACAGCGTTTATCCACTTGCATTGTAAATTTAGTAATGTTTATTTGTATTGTAAATTTAAAATTGTTTTATGTATTTGAATATTGAATAGCATGCTGTACTTTTAACAACCCACCGAGTTCACTTTAAATAAAAGTTGTTTTTCTCTACAATTAAAAAACTAATCATAATAATTAGAAATAGATTTAATACAAATTTAAAGATGAAAAAAATGTAAAAATATTATGTAGTATGTAAGTTGTATAAATATTTGTTGTCAATATTATTGGGTTATCTATTTTAAGTTGTAATGTGAACCAAAATATTTAAAATATTTACCCGTTTTTCCTTTTCTAAAGACTGACTAATCTCCTTTTTAACACTGAAAACGATAGGCAAATGAAAACTGTTACTGACCATGATTTCAAAAATATAGCTATTTGAAGTTTATCATAAATGCATTTGTTTATCCCCTGTTATCTGCACAGTATGGTTTTGCACCATAAATCTAGAGGTTTTTCATGACCCGAGTTAGAATCAAAATAAGTAGTAAGAATTGTAATTAAAATAAAAATAGCAGGAAAGAGGTGGTTGAAATGTAATTGAGAATAATGAGGACGGCAGGCATATGTTAGGATAATGTGGGGGTTTCAAGTGGTAGTTTAGAACAAGGGCAGCTAACCCCAAATAGTTTAGATGAAAGTGAAGTAGAAGATTGATCATTTTCACTGTGGACAGATTATGAAAAAATGGTATATTTTAAGAATAAGAAAAAAAAAACAACACTCAAATTCACAATACAACAACGGGTATGTATATTTCAAATAAATACACTAATTTTGTGTGGGTTTTTCCCAAATATTTTATGTAAATACACCTTCAAAGTACATTATTTAACTGGAAATACATATATTTGTTTGTAGATTTCACATGAGAATTTATAAATGAATTAATAAAACACGTTGTAAAAACACTATTATTATTTGTTATTTTTTTTTTTAATGACCGGGATGAACAACGAATGAGACAATGGTTACCGATCATTGGTCGTGGTGTTGTTAGACTTACAATTTTTTATTTTTTAGTCTAGGAAATGGGGAAGGGGAATATCACTCCTCTTATTATGGCATCTCAAATACATACAGTTTAGTTGAACAAAAAAAAAAATTATGATTTTCCGCGCACAGTAATAATAATCATACGTATAATAAAATAATAATAATAATAACTAAAAATAAAATACATACTATACAATAAGAATAAATAATATGAAAACGCATTGTTTGCACGGTAAACCGATGGTAAAGTAAGAGAAATTGAGAGGAAAATAAAACAATTGACTGAATGTAACCTGAATTACATAATAATATTGTTATCATTGTAAAGTGAAAGCTAAAAATGTCTGCATATAGACAAATTTTAGTTAAAAAAAATATTAAACTCTTGTTAAAACAATAAATTATTGTACAAAAATAAATGTTTGTTGAGCAATAATATAATGTTTCTTTTTTGGTAATCGCTTATGACAAAAAAAAAAAAATTTAATATAATATAATCATTTTGCAAAACTTTGAAATACAACACCACGATGGGTTGAATAAATTAATAATATTATATACTATATCGGTGATGTTTTTGGTCCTGTGGATATGTGTAAAGGTTTATTTTTTATATTAGTCAAAATGTTAAATTGTTCTAAGGGCAATAAATAAATAAATAAATAAAACATAAAAAAACTGATTTATTTTTCAATTAAATTATTAGAAAAAAGTCTAGGCAAAAAAAATAAAGTTTAAAATAAGCCTATAATAAATATTTTATCTAAATCTAAGAAAATTAAAATACTCTTGAAAAATAATACGTATTGGGAAAAGAGTATTTTTGAAATTTTTTAGTTTGGAAGAGAGGGCAAGAAGGAAGATTGGCAAGCAATAATATAATAATTGATTTTCGTTTTATTTGTTATTATTGAGACACGCGCGGATAAAATGTGAAAATATCATGTGTGACTAGTAGACGATTCGATAAAAGAATTATTTTGTGAAACTCGATTTTACTCTTCGTTCATTACGATAATAATTTATAAATCTAGTTGTTAATAATCCTTTGTATTATTTTTGTTTTAACGTGTATTTAAATATTATTATTATTTATTTAATATTGATTGGGATATTGATTTACAGATCCGATTCGCCATACAAGGCGGTTGAAAACGACATATAGTCTAAAGCTCCAGGTACAGCGTTAACCCCTTTATAAGGAGCCATACGTTGTATACAGTATTCTGCCTGGTCTGGTGGAAGTTCTCGTCTCAGCTCGTCAGACAGGATATACGGCTATAATGAAATAAAAAATACAATATGAAAATCAAATTTTGTACAAAAAGTAGTTTTATTTTGTTTACTTTGTCGCCTGCAAGAATACGGAATGAATCAATCACTTGTTCTGCAGTGTCAGTGTCAGTTGATTCCCGAGTCATAAAGTCCAAGAAAGCATCAAAGTGTACATATCCAGTACTGTTAGGATCGACAACTGCCAAGATACGTTGGAAATCAATTTCACCCTATGTAAATATTATACAGATACATGTTATTATTAAACTGGACATATTATTTTAATATTATTAGATAACAAATAAATTTACTTGTCTGTCCTTTCCGATGCTGTAGCCAATAGACACTAAGCATGATTTGAACTCTTCTGGGGCTAATCTACCTGTACGGTTCTTGTCAAAATGATTGAAACTGGCCCTGAATTCATTCAACTGTTCTTGGGTGATACCCTTGGAGTCTCTGGTCAGTATTTGATTTTCCACTTCGTTTACGTTACGGTTAATAGATGTTAAGAGCTGTTCCCAACCAACACGTAGTGTCTCCATTGTGTATTGAGTGTACCTATACAAAGAAGAACAAACAATTGGTTAAAGTAAAGCTGCAGATGTTTTAATAAAATACCAATATTTTCTTGATTGTACCTGTTTTCGAAAATCATACCCTCTTGTACAGCTTGGTGGATTTTCTCCAATTCTTCGATGTGAGGTTTGTATGCAAACACGTTCTGTTCGTAAAGCTTCAGTTGATGTAGTTGATCTTCTAGAGAACCTTGCAATCCCATACCAATGGCAGTAATGGCATCCATTTGCCTCTCGATCCACGGACCCACTTGATTTGCTTTCTCCGCAAATTGACGACGTAGCATCTCATTGTCTGAAAAAAAAAAATAAATAAATAAAAACAAAAAAGTTTTAATAATACTCTTTATAGATACTACAGTAATAATTATTTACTTTGTTGTTTTCTGAGTTCGGCTTGAAGGGTCGTGTCTCTTTGAGGCACTAAATGTTTCACTTCTGACCATTTTTTACTTAAATCCTAAGTACACCAACAATTTTATGTTAACAAAATAAAATAATAATAATAATGAAATGTATAAAAATATTTTATTATGTACATTAGAAGTTAAAGTAGTGTACGGATTCTGAAGACCTCCGGGTATTTGGTATTTTTGTACAGTCGCCTCAACATCTTTGACTAGACCAATGATAGAATTGTACTCTTTGTCAGCGTCCGACAATGTAGCCTTGAATTGCCCATGAGCATCGATTAATCCTTGGATTTCCTCAACGGTGTGAACAATAAACATGTCCACAAGATCTTCACGAGTACCGTCCAACCAGTTGTTGAAAGGCTGACATTTATCAAAACAAAAACAAAAATATGAAAATATTAAAAAATTACGACAAAGTTTGATTGTTTGATGACACTTACTGCTGCTCTTTTAGCAAACTCCAAGTGCAATATATCAATTTTTTCCAAAATCTTTTCAGCATCATCTAAATCGGTACGGCGTTTTTGTGTCAAGCTACCCAATCTGTCCCATTGATCACAGATACGTTGACAACGAATGTTTACGCTTGTGCTATCATGATATTCTAAAGAACTGAAAACAATATTATAAAATATGACTTTAATATTGTATTTTTGATTGTTGAAAATAATAGTTAATAATTTACTTTAGTTCATGCGCAATAGCTGCGATTTGCTCAACTCTATCTTGGTGTGCGGCCAGGTCGCTCTCGAATGCTTCATGCTTCTTTTTCAAAGCCTTCAGATCGTTTAGTTTACATTGCCTGAAGTCTGAACTCTGCAACATTTCTTCTTTGCCATGTGTCCAGTCTTCGTGAGTGTCTGCCTTGGCCTTGAATTTCTGTGCCAAATGTTCCAAACGTTCTAATCTCATCATTTCGGATAACAACCAATCTTCAAACGATTTTTCCGATTGTTCGAGACCTTTCCATGCGTTTGCAATATCCTAGAAATTAACAATATAATGATGACAGTTGATAAAACAATAATATTTCTTTGAAAAACAAAACTAATTATTAAGGTGTAATTTTACTCACGGAAACCATTTTTCCTTCGGTCGGCATATAAGCAGGCCTGTTAGATAAACGCAATTTTGTCTGAAGCGTGTTGAAGTTTGTTTCGAGTTTAGCTTTCTGCTCTACGCGGGGAGGCTTGTGCTTACGTCTATATGTGCGGTATTCTTCCAGTCTCTTTTGTACACCGGACAAAGAGTTATCGGCTTGTCGGCTCTGGAGCCACGGCAATGTACGCCTGATCCATTCCAAAAGCTTTACGGAAATCACACATATAAAATACATGTAACTCTCAGGAACTCAAATCGATATATTTAATAAAATGATAATGCTTACATCACTGGCCAAACGCTCGTATTCTTCCATTAAACGTTCGTTTTCTTGATTCACCTTCAGTACCTTGCAAATTCGATTGGCGGCAGTCTCGGCCTACATACATTTAAAAGTCATAATACAACTTGAACTTTTGTTGGTTTAAAAGTTAGTGACAAAAAGCTTTAAGTAAAGGCACAATTATTATTACCTTCTGGGCTCCAGAAAAGCAATGGTAATACGACGAGACGTAAGTCATTATGGCCCTTTCGTCTGGCATTGCCGTATTGGTCATATCTATCAAATGTTATAACAAACATGCATTTATGTTAGGTTCACTCAAAAGCAATCAAAATTTCAATAATTAGTTACATTTTTGTTTTTATTAATATCGGACTTAATTATACACACGCCGTTGTGCGCATAATATTATTTTATGGGTTCACACAATTGGGAATACGTTTATAATATGGAATAATAAAGTATTTATTTTTCCGAGTATTGAATCGTCATTGGCATATTAGCAGCAGCGTTATAGATGCTTAGCACCGTTTAGATCGATACTATTATAGCACTCCTCAATTCTATTCCCACGATAAAAATCATTATTATATTTTATTAATTTTCTATAAAATATTAAGATTCGAAACTGCCAAAACATTTAAACATAGTACAAATAAATTTGTATTAAGTTTTAATTTATTTAATTAAATACATGTAAAAAGATTTTGTTTTTTTAAATTTGGACTATACATACCGTCCAAGCAATCGTCATTGCTTGTGTTTATGAAGGCTCGACATACTAAAAAAATACATGGTAAAATTCACGAATGGTCACTAATTTGAAAACTAACCCTGTGCAGAAGCACAATGGTAGGGTCTTAAGTTTACGTTTAAGATCAATTGATTGTAATAATTAATTGTCTGATTGATCAATAAAAAATAATTTGTAAAATAAAACATTTTGTGTGCTTTTGGAAAAAAAAATGTATAACTGCAGCGTACTTGGTTAATACTTCTAGATCCACGCATCTATACATATCGGTTGAGTAGTATTTGGTAACGTTTAAAAATAAGAAATATAGGATGTATTATGTGAGTTAAAAAAATAGGTTCGAATAGATATCTTTTTTTTTTAAATGAGCGATTTGGGAGACAGGTAAAATTCAAAAGCTTTTTTTTTCATTCTAAAATATTATAGATTCTATAGATTAGATATACGTCAATGCGAACAACCACAGAGAAATATTAAACCAACTACAAAAAAAAAAAAAAAAATTAGAAAACTATTTTATTAAGAGCTAGTTAGTGTTCGGTTTAACACCACGCACAGGACACAAAAAAGTAAAAAAAAAATTTAAAAAAACGAGATAAATCCTCAGGAGCAGACGCAAATTCTTTACCTGTTGTGCGCCTTGGAATGCGTGATAATAACACGACACGTAGGTCATGATCGCGCGTTCGTCCGGTTTCGGCGTGTTTATCAAGTCTACAATAATATTATAATCGTCAACAATGAAAATAAAAAATGTATATAAATTCCCGGACGATAAAAGGAAAATTTCGTGAATAAAACTGTTTTGAGGTCAGCGATAATGTACGGGTCTGAGGCAAAAGATAAAATAAATGAAAGTAACAGATTGAGAACTTTAAAATGATGGATGTATGGTGTGATCGGGTCGGATAGGATTAGGAATGAATAGAAGTGACGGATATGGCGAGGTAAACTGGAGAAAATAGATTAAAATGACATGTCTTCTCTTGATAAATTGAAACGATAAGATAGTCGAGAAGATTAGCAAGCACTGAAAGAGACAGGCCAAAAAAAAAAAAAAGACTACGAGGTTAAAGGAGTAATATAAGTTCACATGGGATGTGGAAGGCCAGAATAAAAGTAGCTGACACAATTTGTGTGATAACAGAGTAAAGACAAAAGATATAATAAAAAAAGGTTCCTGGACGATAAAAAAAAAAGTATAAAACAATGTTTGTGATATAGGTACGACATAATATTGCGGGGAGACGGGACGTGCATTATGTTTTTACCGCGATTAAATCATATATAGCAATAATAGAACGCACCTTCGGGGTCCAACATGCGGGGTATATCCAAGTACTTTTCAGCCACGTCGAACGCAGTGTTCAGGTTCTGCAATGGGTTGTCCTTGGATAGTTTGTGATAGTCGATGAGATCGGGACGGTGACGATGAATGAGGGCACAGAAGGCCAGACCGTCTTTGAAACTGTGGATGAAAAAAAAAACCGATAACGGGCAAATCTCGGGACGATGGAGGCGGTGACATGAAGTATAACCACAGTAGGTAGTGTTATTATGTACCTGAGATGGAAGTTTTGCACGTTCACGTTCTTGTAAGGGGCTGTCTTGCGTTGACACCACAGTAACAAACCTTCTTTGGCGGTCATCTCCTCCACAGATATGTCTTGGATGGCGAATCTCAAGATGATGGTCCAGATCATTCCCAAAGTCATTTTTAAATTTCCGTCGACGATCTCTAATATTTAAATAAACGTTCCAATGGAAAATTATATAATATTTTTGCAATAAACATAACGTAAATAAAACTGTTTTTTATTAACAATATTAACTGTAGTTAATAAAACAAACAAAAATGGGGAGGACCATGATATAAGTGACATAATGAGTACCTACTATTCCATTTTCATCTTTCTTTTTTTTTCCAAGTCTGTAATGGGTCATTTTAAGTTCCACCGGGATTTTTGAATTTTAATGGTTATAATTTTCTAGTTATCCCACTAAGAAGACTAGCACCTAATTTTGTATAGATAATCATTTTTATTTTAAAATCGTTCAGTGGCATATTTTTAAAAAAATGTTAGATTTTTGTTTTAAAATATTCACAGTATACAAATAATGATAATTAATGTACCTTCTGCGCCGATCGACACTAATTTCACACCCTTGCTGGCTATAAAGTCTAAAGCTTTGTTGACGTTGGCGATCTTGTGGAAGCGCATTTTACCCCGGTCGGGTTTTGGTAACGTTTCACCGGAAATCACTTCGAGGAGCAACATGAGTTTCAAACCATTGCGGAAATCTTCCTCGATGTTCTCGATAGCAGTACCAGCTTTGCGCAAATGAGAATTGCACCATGCAGTAAAGGTCTGCAAAAAAAAAAAAAACCCGTTATAATAAAAATCAATTGACCGATGATTTTACAGAAAAAATTACTCTTTTCCCGTCTAGACACAATACTATCACATTATATTGTCAGAGTGTCGATTTCAATACAGTACACCACAGATTTGTTACAGATTTTGATTCAATTATTATAATAAATAACGTCGTTCCGCGAATTTTCTATTATACATGGATAATTTAATCAAAACAAACGCCCGCAAGTAATACGAATAATAATAATGATAATAATATTATATAAACAATACCATACGAATATGGAGTAAATACATACTTCATAAATACACGAGTATTCTCAGTGGGATACAGTATTTATGTGTACATGAATTTAAATAAAAATTTAAAAAAAATTAAATTAAATAAATGTTTGACATAAAAAAAAAAAAAAAAGGAAAGGCTAAAATACTGCTAATGTGTGTTCTACTATTTTAGGAGGAAAAATGGAAGGGAGGATATATAAAGTAGTTTATTTATCTCTGTATACAACCATAAACCATCGCAAACGAAAAACGATTTTGAGCACAGTACTATTAGGCGTATTTTTTCTCTTGTTACTAAGATAATCCAGAAGTCAATAAACATGTCGAACTTTATCGTTTATAAAGAAAATTACAAGGGAAATCAAAAACTGACCACCTCAATGTACCAATTAGACAACAAAATTTTAAAAAATGCTACAAGAAAGTCCCTACACAATTTTTGATTAGAGCAAGATTTCCGGCAAATAAATTGTTTACAGAGACCCACAAATGAAAAAGCACATCACGGTAAAATAAAATCATTCCTCATTCTCACAGAATCTAAAATGCCGTTTTAGATCACTGATTTTTCGTATAAGTACCGGGTATTATATTATGTACGTATTTATAACATAAAAAACGTGCACATGGAAATAATTATCGACACATATGACCCATTTAGTTGTCGTTAGAATTAATTTTAGAAACGAGTTCTCCAGTTCGAAAAAACAAAAAATGCAGACACGATTTGTCAAAAAACGATTATGTTACCTATATTAATCGCCGTCGTTGGAAATAATTAAAAGCGACGGTTCACACGCGTCGTAATATAATTCGGGGCCCGATGATAGCGACCGTCGAAAATTCGGATTTTCAAAAACGGGGCGCGAAAATAATGGGCATAGGATTTTAAAAACCAAACCGGTTGTTGTCATAATAGTGTCAACAATTCACTAGCGTACACGTGATATATTATAACACAACAGTCCGTAAGTATCGCGTTTGTATTTCTTGTTTTCAGCCCAAAGACAATTCGGACTAACTCGAGAATATAAACGCCATTCGATATATTAGTATAAAACGCGTGACGGTGCGACGTAACGGTCCGCCGAGATAAAACAAAAACACCGCCATCGTGGATCGTAGGCACCGGCTATGTAATATATGGAAATAATCATAAAACACGATTTCGAACAAAAGAGAACGAATATATTATTATCGCCGTTCGTCGTCGAGACGCTCGATAAAATTGCATACAAATAATGCATACACGCACAGCCGATGTTGATTTTTTTCTCATATTAAACGGGGTTTTCGCGCAGGCACAAGAGGAGTTTTGTCCATGCCGAACGAACAAACAACGACGGAATAAATAAAAACGGAAATGGCAGAAACGAGAATGTTATGCGAGGGAATGCGGAGATGGATGTGTGCCATGTGATCAAATGAAAATTATAAGAATAACCGATTTAGCGGGTACAACAGGAAAAACGCGGGGGGGGGATTTTGATTTAGAGGGTATCGAGGGAATGCGGAGAGAAGGAGATGAAATGGCAAAAGAAAAATTTTAATTCAGAGTTAAATGTATATGGAGTAACTGAGGAATGGGTAATTTCCGTCCAAAGAAAATATGAGGGAAGATTAAGGAGTTTTGAGTAGGCGGAAACGTCGTCTTTTTTTCTTCTTATTTTCAATATATCCGAGTTGGCTAGCGAACATTTTAGTAGATTATTAATTAATGTCCGTTCTCTCGTTCGTTATTTGTTTCTGTCAAGATACTTTTTGACAAATTCAGATAATTTAAGACTATATAACTGGGTCGAATAATGTATATTGTTTTGGGTGTTGAAATAATTCTCACTGTTGAGCAATAGGCTAACAACAAATGTCTTAATTTATAGTATATACATTATACAGTATTATGTTATACTAGGTCATCGACTCCAATAATATTAATTTAATGATTCAAGTTCATTCAGCAAATAATTCGCTGGGAACATTATACTAACTATGACTGTTTAGCATGTTCGCAGTTCACGTCTTGTATGATACACTAAATATTGCGTTAAGTATTTTAAATTCTTTATTGTGCGTCGTTATATTTTACAAACTCTATGGTACCCTATAAATCAGTAACTGTAGTATTTTTAAATGGTAAATTATCGAATAACGCACGGACCGTAAATCCGAGCAGATTTTAAGAAAAGTCGCCGTTTTGAAATTTATAATGTAACAGACTTTAGTATTATACTTATCATAAAGCACGTGTAATTATGATATTGTATTGCATTATTTTTGAATTGTTTGAAACCTTATCGACCACGTAAAAACAATATTAAATATAAAGATAAACAGAAAAATAAATATTGTACAATTTAAAAAAAAGAATCTAAAATATTGTTATCAACTAGCGAGATGAAGTGTATTTTTCTAGTTTGTTTACCCTGATAACGGTACCTAACAATCGACACGATCACGAAGACTACATTAAAATACCACATTTACATAAACGAAAGACTCAAAACTCTTTCCTTCTTTCACCTTCGCCTTATTCTCGACTATCTTTTGATTCTAAATCTTCATCTGAAACGGTCACACACCCCTCGTATCACTCTCAATCATATCTGATTATTTTCTTTTCGGTCTTTCTCTTCCCTTTACTTCCTTCCGAGTATATTTACAGAACATGACTTTCACAATATGTACTCTGACTCATATGTTCAAACCAATTCAGGATATTATACATTCATAAATTGAATAAATTACAAATACCGCACAATAATAGGTAAAAGTCAATAGTGTAGTTCTTAAAATGTGGTGTGGTATCATAAAGAAATTTGAATTAAGTTTCTATTAAAAATTTGACAAATAATCTCGGAGATAAGACGGAGATTATTTACTTATTATTCTTGTTAATTAAATCTTGTTATATTTCGCGAAACTGTATAAGAAAATGGCAACACCGAAGATAAATGCGGAATTGTGTTACCTATTTCATTTGACTATCCGTTTCATGGAAATCAAGTCAAAAACAAAAAACACAGTTACATTATTAAATACAAATTAACGCTATAATCAAAATAATATTCGTTTTATTTAAGTTTTAGACGAATGTTTAAAATATAATTTGAATGTAAAATATAATATTTCGAGTCGGAGCATAGGAGCATATTTTAAAGAATTCTGATAGGGTAGCACTATAGTGACTAAGAAATAGGCTTAATGCCAACACTATTTAAATGCTTCCCTCTCCCTTGTAAAAAAGTTTGATCCACTAGTGATTTAGTATCGATATATTTCCATAGCCCAGACAAACCCGTGGTTTAATATTGAATTCGAATAAATAGGTAGGCGATATTTGATTATCGGCTTTTTTTCAGTCTCAAGCCGAATTCATAAACGATACCTATACGAACAAAAAATAAGTTTCAAATAAAACACATAAATGAAAACATTGTTGTAAAAAACCGGATAAAAATTACGACTTTGTGAATGCACCTGGGTGCGATAAGACTGCCACTACTCATATTTTTAATGGCGTCACATTGTATGTATTATATTATAGTAGTACCTACAAAATTACAATAAGTGAGTACAGTACAAACAATCGTAATTGGCATTCGCCAGCTGATAATAACTTTAAACGGAATATCTACCTACTCGTGTACAATGATATTATGTCGTACTTGAAGTTTAAATCCGCATCATAACACATTCGTTTTATCAAATACGACATAATATTATAATTATAATATTGTTATTACGTCTACATCGGTGCTAAACACAGATTTTCATGTAGAAAACGCACATTAATGAGGTAAAAACGTCGAGACGAGACGGCTGAAAGATAGAATAACAACTGACCATAAATTTTCAACAAACGTTTGATAAACTAAAAATGTTAGAAAAAAATACGTGTATGTTTATACACGTTTACTGGTACAAGCGGTTTAATTAACCTGTCTCTTTCTATATATACTTATATATTTTAATCGGAATGTAACGAGTCTATTAAAAAACATAAAATAAAAAAAACATGTCTGTCTATAAAAGAACCGAACGAAATATACATAAATTTACCGAGGAGAAATATTAAACAATATTGGACATAAGAATTCACGTATATGTAGCTGGTCTTTAGGATGCTGAACTTCAAAACTTCGAATGCCTCAAAATCTTCAACAAAAATAACCGGAAATATTTTCAACAGAACGTAAGCTGTTAAAAATTTAAATTGAGTACTACTTCAATGTGAATGAATTGACGACTCTAAAGAAAAATGCTTCCTATTCCTGTGCAAACACTTAGCCAACGCTGTTTTTCTATTTTCTTATCGGCTTTATCTAAACCAGTCGTGGTATTTCGTCGACTAGGTTTTAGGTTCACGCTCAGGACATGTGTATTAGAACAGTACCAGGTTTACAGAATTGATAATAAGTTTTCTTACCGAGACGAAATAATGAGATTTTATATGTTTCTAATACGATGTACCTAGACGACTGTGATTTTTCTGGCGTTTTTTTCCCTCGTCACCCCGGGAGACTAGATGATTCGTCTTACAACATCGGCTTACCGACGTGTATTTTTTTTTCCACCCAAACTCAAAAACGATCCGTTGCGGCGGGCGAAACCCGAAGCGGCATACGCTACGTGCGCGGCGCTTTTCCGAGAACCGACCCGTTCGTTTTATCAACAGATTCTCAGACGTTTCTCTAAAATATATTTAACAAATCACGTTCAGATTGCGCGAAAATATCAAAACGGTTCGATCGCGTTCGATTAGCGCAGTGCTATACATCGCGTGGTTTCGGCAACGCCGTAGGCCACTTCCGATGTAAACAACAACAACGAGTCGATATTTTCGCATTGGGTTCGCTCACGTAAGACGTGGTGTTACTCTGGGGACACGTCGGCCACGCAATTCGCTACTCTCTATCTCTGTAATCACAATAATAATAATAATATTATAATTATCTTTCCGTCGCGTTATCGTTATACGACTATTTGTACACTGCAGCGCCGGCTCACCAATTTAGTGTTTTATGTTACACTGTCGCCTATCAACGTGAACTTGAACACGAACATAATATTATTATGATTATATCGATGCAAAACAACAACAACACGTTTTGGCGTACTTCAAACACGACTTATTATTTACCCCTCCGCAAGCCGAGGTCAAAGTCGACCGAAACCGTTTTGTGCCATTGTGCATTATTGCGACAAAACTACGCCGTCACGATTATATATATAATTAATTTTTTTTCTTCATAAAAAATCGATTGTTCCGACACAGGCACACTACACGATCGCTGCGAAGAAAAAGAACGTAAAAACTCGAGTCAACGCCGCCGTACACGGGCCAATAACGATTTTCTCTCTACAAATTATTATTCGATTCGTGTGTTTTATTCGACACGCGCGATTTCGGAAAGTTGTGTGCCATCAAAATTAAAAACGTGAATCGCTATAATAACAAAACCGAAATGCCCTAGAACGATATTATGATTCGGGATAGACCGGTACATAAATCGATATTTTCATAAAACGATATCCATATAAATATGAAAAAAACATTAATAAAACAAACAAAGTGGCGGTTTTAGTGTTAAAACTAGTGGCGAGAAAATGTACACTACCGAATAGTTGATATTATCGATAGTTGTGATGGACTATATCGAATGTTTCATTCTAATGTTTTTTCGCCATAACCGAATAATAATGGTCTACCATTGGGAGACGAATTAGTCTCGAGGTGTGTATTCATATAAACAATTAATGACAATTTGTATACACATAGTCCGGAATACAACGTTGTAGAGGTTTTAAAAAGGATAAAAATGAAACATGCAATTTGATTTTTTTTTTTCTCGAACACAAACAAAAACATAATAATAATATTATAAATAATTGGTCAAAAACCTAATGTCGTTTATTCGACGTGGAAAGTGAGTGGGCGTACAGTACAGTATTAGTGGTAAACAAAAAAAAAAAAAAAATGTTTTGACTGGTCGTGTAGCACAAGTAAATGCAAAATAAATTTATCGGAGATATTTTTTTTTTTATGCGGTTTAGCCAGCGGCAACAGTTTGACGAATCGAGAACGGTGACGGATTTACGATTTATTGTACACGGAGCAAATATTAAATTATAAAACCTCAACCTTAATGAAAACCGCATCACTGTCCTATTATCTATCATGTTCGCATATTCGGAGTACAAAACTCAAATGAAAGCTCTCTTCGCAATTTTCGACACGTCTTTACAACGTATATTTTCATAAAAATAACAACAAAAAAAAAAAAAGCAAATCATCGGATGGATAAAAAAGTTTTTTGTATTATTATTTTGTTATCGTTCTATAATAAAACACTTCATGCTTCTTGATACACTCCAACAAGATGCGCCACTTTCGTCCGTTATATAGAAATACTGGGGCGGCGAAACGTTACTGTGACACGTCCTGTCAAAAACGAATATTATTCAAACGAAATAATATTATCATGTATTATAATCAGTCTAAACAGCTGTGACGCGAGCAGTGAGCATATTATTCTAAGAATGTCAAACACGCACAATAATAATACAAAATGTTATGTATGTAAAGCGACCGTTTGTCCATATCTGCAATGTTTCATAGTAGTCGAATAAATTAAATTATTTACATTATACATTATCGTGATAATAATAAACCGAAATGCCAAATGCGGATGGAACGAAAGTAATAATAATTCGTCACCTCTCGTAACCGCAAAATATTACGTGAAAATGTTGACGATTCGGCTATTCCGTTATTTCTTCATAGACATGATAATATTAAAACGTATTGTTATTATTATATTTTACCGAACCGATTGCGTTTTTTTTTTTTTTTTATTTATTTATTATTTCGACTACCTCTATCAAAATGGTCCCGATATGAATTATCATTCTACTTTGAAGATTTGCATTGCCTCCGGTCATTTATTATAAAATATCACCAGAGGATATTTTTAACCTATAACAATATTAACCTGTCCCCACCCTCATAGTTAAGCAGGAGGGTCTATATAATCAAGTATATTTTTACCTGGAAGTACAAAATAGCCTATTAAATATAATATTAAATTTATCAAAAAAAGTATAGAAATTACAAATTGATTGTAGTTCAATATTCGCAGAGATACAAGTCGAATTGAAAATCCAGCGATTATACAATCAGCAAAAAATTTATCAAATATTTCTTTAGGAACGGAAAAAAAAACATTTCAGCAGTTTAACATTCCTATCATAGTCAAATATTTCGGAACCGGGCGTGGTCGACGAAAATATTATGTTATTGTTTATTAGTAACATTTCTATAGGGCCGAATAAAACAAAAAAACCACGTGCTCGTGCGTTGTACTTAAATAGGTACGTTTGAAAACGCGTTTTTCGCATTCTTGTTTTACCGAAAAAAAAAAAAACTTTTCCTCGACGGCCGACATTGTATAATAATGATAGTATAATAACAATAAATGAAGTATGAGTCGTACGCGACGTATTCCGTTGATGGATATTACCAATATTTTCATTGTTCACTCGTTTCCCTTGGCCAATCGCGTAAAAATACAACTCTTCTGCACCACATCACCGGTGATATTATTTCTGGTCGGCGGGAGGTCTCTGTATTTTTTGTTTTATACCACAGGTGTACACACAGGTACCAATAATAATAATTGTTACCTATTAATATAATAATAATTATGTACCTACCTAACTGATATTGATAAATATAATAGGTACAAATAATACTACCATAATATACTTCGGTACAAGTATGCAAACAATGAAAAAACCAAACCTAATAATATTATCGTCGAGACACGGCCTTGAATCAACATTTTTCTCCGATATAAACACGACCGATTTCCTCTGTACGCTCGCAAACATTAAAACTTTCCGCGACACGATATAGTAGGTATTGTTTCGACAAATAATATAAGAACTTACTTTAGCCGTTACAGTCGATTCATGTTAGCACATGTTATGTTTTAATGTTTTATAATAGTTGTCAGACAAATGACAAGGAAAAATGCAGCCACGACGATCCGCGGAAATACCGATGTCGAAAAGAAAAAGCAGCCGATTCTGCTCTAATGAAGTTATCATCCTAAGTGTAAAACTAAATTTCAAAACTTTTAATTGTTGAAAAAAAACCATGTAGAATGTAAATCAAAGTAAGGGGTAAAAAAACAAAAACCACTACGTAAGGTAGGTCACGTTTTGAAGTAGAAAAGTCAATATAGTCTCTTCTATCAAGGTCATCAATTCGTTGGCATAAACTAGGGGCACTTTTGGAATTGAAGCTCTCTTCTCCTTAGCCATATACATACTTTAAAAACAGAACATATTGTACTAAATTATACAGAATGTAACTTGCATATTAAGTTCCAATTTTAAGAGATGGTGCTATTTTTTTTTTTTGAGGTTATGTTTCTTATCAATCGGAGAGAAGTATTTTTGCTGGTATCTGTGATATTTTACGGAGAAGCGTTTGAGACGATAGGGAATATTGTGCTTATCGATTTTTTAATAACGAGTAATATCCGAGGCAAAACAGTTATTTACAACAAATCGATATCTGTTTCGAGAAACGGAAAACGAACGAGTTAACGGAGAATGTCTCGGAACGACAACGGCACCGCGGCGTTTACAACGAAAGCGAAATTCCCACAATATTAAATTATTAAATATTAGTAATTATCTCGACGGAAATCCTGAACTCGATACTCGGTTTAACGGGTTATTTTCACTACACAGTATCAAATTAGTAGTTTTCAAACGTCTTTTAAACACGGCACACTTGTGTTGTTCTCACACAATTTCCACGGTATATGTCTTAGCTATGAACAACTTTTAAGACTTTTTTTTTTAGTAGGATTATTTTATTTTTTTATATCAATAACGATAGGTAATAATACTATTTTTATATTATATGATGGCTAAAAAAAAGACGCTTGAACATATATATTTTGGTACATCACAATTCAATGCAATCGGTCGCTTATATAGAAAAAAAAAAAACTTTCAAAAGATCGAGGCATCCAGTTCGAAAACCACTGATCTAAATCGCTTTCGCCAAAAACATTAGATAGTAAATTACAATCTGTATAGATTTAAATAAATACCAACGAACTGAAATCATAAGTTTTTGACTTTAGGCATTTTAAAAATAATATCTAATACTATTATTCGACATTTTGTCACTAACTCGGAACGATATTCTCGACTGACTTTCTTCGTCGATAAGTCGTGATGCGTACAGACTGTGAACGACACTGAGTTATAAAACGTAAACGAATTTTACGACCTAAGAAAAACACGTATTGCGTTTTTTATGCATATTTTTATAATGAGAGTTTACGATTGACAATATAATATACGTTCGAATTAATGAATTCGGTCTACCGTATAATATAAAACTATACATATAGGTATGTACTCTAATTTATTAAATTATATGCTTTGTACACATGTAATTTTAGACTGTGTGTACACTGAATTCTTTGAATACATTTTACGGTAGTGACTTTATAAAACTACAAGGGGAAAAAAAGATTTATAAAATACCAGTATTCTTACACAAGGTTTGTCTGGGAAAAATTATAACAATATTATACACACCGCCTCGTAATAATATATAAAATAATATGATGATAATAATTCTTTTATAATCCGCGAGGACGAACCACACGAGATGTGATCACATCAGTATTTTTTTCCGTCAATCTCTTACAAGTAGAGATACGTAGAAAAGTTTTTGTTTTACATTAAGATACAACAAATTTACAACAATATGCAACTCGATTTTCAAAGTTTTGTCTGTCTAAATTTTGTCACGTTCCCGATATATGCCCAAAATCTGCAAACAACTTTAGAACACATTCTTACACAACTCAATGTTAATTAAATGAAATAAAAATATGTATTGTGGAATTCAAAAATAAAATCTGCGTTTTCTCCGTTAATTTCGTATGCCAGTCCATTCATAACCGTCTTATCCGTTCTGCCTCATTCTGTATATGGAAAAAAAGAACGGTCAACGAAATTATTCGGACATAGAATAATCAGCTGCCCGGGTATAAAATATATATGAATTATTATAATGTGCATAGATAAAAATGAGTCCGCGAAAAAAGATAACGCTCGTTTTAGTCACCGGGTCAAACACTGCATATACAGATGACGTAATGATTTAATAATTTTTTTTTACCGATAACAAAACGCAAATAATTCTTCCGAAAATAAAGGTACAATAAAACGATAAGATTGTATAACAAATGATTTCATATAACGAAAAATAACGACCCACGACAGATTCCCCAACAGAACGATGACAGCGAAAGGCGTCTTTTATTAAGGAGATAATAATAATAATCTTTAATCGTGACTGTACAATTGAGTTGTCTGAAATTAACGGAATAAAGGTAATTTCCGGGGAGACATTTTTTTTTTTCAGAATTGTGATGACGTTTGTACAATATTGAGTGTCAAAACACTGTACGTCCATTAGCGAAACGAGTCTATTGGATTCGTCAATATCGAATAAAAGAGATGGTGGAAGTAACAGAAACAGACATTTTAGAATGAACGTGTGATGTGATTCGATTGTATATAGGATTAAGAATGAATAGATAAGAGATAGTTTAGACGTGTGTAGCAGGAAATATGAGAGAGAGAATAGATTGAAATGATATATGATGAGCGGCATATCGAGAAAAGGAGAAACGACCAATCAGGAAAAAAGGCAAGTTGATTGATGTACGCGAACAGAAGCCGGAAAAGAGGAATAGGCCAAAGAGAAAGTAGCTAAGTTATAAGGGAAGCTATGATGGCAGGTGGAGTAGACGAGGTAGGAAGAAAAAGTTCATTAACAGGATTCTCTTGGATTTTCGATGTAATCCGTTTGACATTATTTTACTATTCATGTACAATCTTCATAATCACATAAATGGGCATAATATATTTACGCGTTCGCATGTATAGGCAAGTTTTTATTTTACGATATTATTCACCACTGTAGTCGAATTCAAAACAATTACGTTTAAATCATTTTTAGTTTTTTCAAATTTCAAAAGTTATCCGTATTGACCTTGGAACTCAACCAACAGCTGAAGATTGAAACCTCACGGCTTCCTCGAGTTGTTATATATTTAATATTACATACTTTTCAGTTTTTCTCGAACGTATTGGAACAAAAATATTAACATTATTATAACTTGTCAAAGTTAAATAAATTAAAAAATATATTTTTATTCAAATATTCACAATTCCGGCCAAAAAAAAAAAAAAAAAATCATGCAGAACGCAATTTACACTACTGCTGCTATACGTTTTCTTTTGATACGAATTTAAATCAATCGGATTATCTTCTCTAACCACAATCCCAAATCGTTTTTCACTATTAAAATCGTATATTGAACTCGCGATTCTAGAACGATCAGTTTTAATTTTACGATAATTAGTGCGAAACGTTACACACGGACGGTCAATGCTTTTTTACATAACGGATCGTTTATGTATGCACGTAAAACGTTATTTATTAAGTAACTTTAGAAGCTATAAAAGTAGCGGACCGAATTGGCAACCGACCACCGCCGCCGCCGCCGTTACCAATGCGTTCGAAATTATTTCGGAATGTTCGAACATTTATAACAACCAACGCGTTCAAATAATTTTTGCACTGTACAACATATGATATTATAATAACGTTTTATTAGCTTGTAAATGTTCATTAGACTGGGCAGAGTTCTTATACCGTCAACAACCCGGTGAAAACACGCAAGTCGATTTTAATCTACATTACAAAATTGTAGCGAGAAAACTGTTATTACTATTATTAACTGCAAAACTACAAGGAAAATTTAAAAATGCAGCGAATAGAAAAAAAAACAAATGCTATAAGAAAAGCAGTATGGAGTTTTTTATTATAGTAAGATTTCTGGTAGAAAAATTGTTGACAAACGACTTCCAAATCTTTGCTGAGTAGCCGACGATATTTGAAATTATAAATTACAAGCAGAATTATCGTGCTCACCCCGATAATTATCTTTATATCACGGTTATAGTTGTTGTTGCCTATAGTATTTATCTTTTAAGGGTTCCCACTTAATCCATCCGGACTTAGGACTTTCTCATAAGAAGTGCGATAGTAAAAAATGTGTTTATGTATTTTTAATTTTACATGGAAATAAATAAGTATCGACAATTTAAATTTGGATTGAAAAAATAAAAACATTATTATCAATAATAACGATTTATCATTCAGTATCAAAACGTATAAGTAAAACTGGAAGTATAATTTTAAAACACCACCAAGTATAATATATGAACCTCGAGTTAAATTTTCGATCATTTTTTTTTGCGCTAAAACAATTTTATATAACCATAGAAAAACTAAACTAGAAAAATCTGTACATTTTTTCGTTTTTTTCCCAATTAACAATTAATTTATTACACAAAAAATCAAAAAATAACCTCTCCAATGGATTAACTAAAAAAAATTTGATTTTAGAAAATGTTTTACACACAATAATTGTATCACTGGTAGAAAAGTTGTCAACAGACAGCAAATGAAAAAAATTAAAGGCCTAGTAAAATTAATAAATTCCTTTCAATACGTTTAGCATTACAAAAAAAAATTCGAGACGAGACAATGTAACAATGTTGTCACCATAATAATCATACCTACTTGTTATTTTATCACGGAAAAAACCTTCGTCTGTGTATTCACGTCACAATGGGCTTTTACGTTAAAATTACTTAATCGAAACAAGAGAAAACTCAATCGATCGGAATATGTCGGTAGGTATTTTTTTTCTCGGCATTCCAATCGTATTTGTACATATTGTAGTTATCCGGTCGTTTTGTAATAATAATAATAAATAAAAAAATTAAAAAAACATTAAAAACGCCTTATACTAACGTCACAAGTCGTCGTAATGTCGTATAGATTCAGTTCTCGTTTTTCGATTACATAAATTGAAATTGTCCTCTAATAGGTATTATAACCCATCCGCACAATATGGAAGCACGAAGTGAGTGTATATAATATGATATTATGGTAATGTTCGGCTAGTAATAAATAATATTGTTTATGTGTTCGATTATATCTCCTATTAAAAAACTATTGAGAGTGGAGCTCGGTAATGATGGACATTTAAAATAGTTTTCGTTGGTCGTCGTGATATATATATATTTTTTTTAATATATGTGCGTAGAAAACTGTCGGGATTCTAGAAAATTGTATCGAATAGCGTTTTACTAACCGAAAAAATGTTTTCCCAATGAAAAAAAAAATTATTTTATAGTTAGCTTGATTCAAAATCCATAGAATACACAACTTTTATCCGACTTGGAAACAGAAAAAAAATATATAAAACGATGAGAAATTAATAATTTAAAGTTCCGGTAAAAAAATATATTCACCCTCGTTTCTCTCCTTCTGTTTCTATTGCTCTAACAAATATATATATTATGTATAAAAGCAATTTATTAGACATATAGAGCATCGAGACTATTTAAGACTATACGGAACATAATATTTTCCCGACGTTCTGCACACAACGTCATTATTCTCATCGTATTGCAAAAGAAAGAAAAAAATTCTTTCAGGTAGCTCTTTGCATTATTATTACCATCATCATCATCACCACCACGATAACTATTCGCTTTTATAAGCCATAATTATAACATTCGAAAACGAGACGGATACAGCTGTATAGTATACATATAAATACACCGTCACAGCCGAGATAAAAGTCCTAATGGGGTTAAAGACCGGCGTGAAAAAAAAAACGATTTTTCTTTTTGTATTTTTAATCAAACGACAAATAGACGGGCTTGAATTCTAGCATAGAATTGTCGAGGTTTTTTTCCCCCTCGAAATACTATATATTCCAAACGGAAAGACGCGTAACCGAGTTGCTGATGCCGGACGTGTCGCGGTCCAATGGCGATTCACGTCTACAAATAATCGACTACAGCTAACTCAATAACATTTTTAAACCATTCACCGAAAATCAATATGGCATGCTCCGAAAATTTAAACCTACGTAGGAAGACGGTATGTTATATGTACACGAGTGTGAGACGTCAACACTTCCGTTCTATAGTATATATTTAAAAGAAAATACTTTGAATACCTACTCTAAATGTTTAAACGATGATGATGAGCTGAGAGAGGATAATATATAGCGAGACCAGAAAGCCTGTTTCAACAGTAAAAATGTATCGAGTGTGGTTCTCGAAGGATTTTCAATCGATTGGGTCGTTTATGAAATTCCCGGCACTTATTTTTCCCCGTACACGGAAAAACTGATGACAATAATAACGAGCACAAACAATATTTCGCTTAAATGCACAAAGCACAAGTACTTGACACACTAAATATTATTGCCACGAGTTGATTAACTGACTTGTACACCGAGGAGCACGGATATTAGCGTCACTGTTTTACATAATAACATCGGTCACCCAATAAACCGTAAAGATAAGCGTGCAAGTTATTATTTTACAACATCGATAATCAAATGTTGAATTACGTCACTATTCTTATGCATAGGCTATTTGTTTTTTTTTTAAAAAAAAGAAAAGGCCATAACCTAACTTAACATTCCTGTGCACTGTTCCGCACACCCTGGAACTCTACCGGTGACCAAGACTCGTCGCCAAAAGATCGCATTTAATTTGGCTCGGACGACAACGACAACGACGATACGATTAATCCATCCGATCATTTTGAGGAGTTCGTATGAGCAACAGAAAAAATTATAAATATTACAAACAATGGCCGCAAAGCTGTCTCCATATTATTATATTCTGACGGCAGACCGAGAATGTTTTCCAACAGAGGTCATTAATACCAGCTGCACGCTGCGTCGTTGCACAATCGCCACCTGACACAAAACACACCGGTTTCTCTCGGACTAAACCGATAGTTCTTCTTCTCGGCGACCGTTAAATCCGTATATATGACACATTTATGACCAGCTTAGAAAAAAAAGAGCCGATACTACTGACGGGTGTGCCACTGTTCAAGACGGGAGGTTTGGAAGGTAGGAGACATAGAGAAATTTAATTCCCGTCTGTATGCTGCGTTGGCAAACCATTACTAACGGAAAATGGTTCTGATTTCAAAGTTCGGTTGAATACATTTTGAAATGACATGATTTTTACGATTTCATAAAAATTTGAACTTTAAATAACGCTCATTAAAAAAAAAATGTACACCCTTAAATATTTCTATTTATAATTAATGATAAAGCTCGTGTTTGATTGTCTGGAGTTTTGGTCGAGCGAACAAATTTCATCAATATAAAACCAAATTAAAAAAAATAATAATAAACAATTTCAAATGGTTATAAATAACTCGAAAATGACCAAATGTATTTTAATTACAGTTCTTTCCTGCGAGGCTTTGACAATGCTAAAACTCCAAACACTAAATGCTACCCCGAGAACTCGTTAACAGTTATTGTTATTAATAATTTATATAGCAATTGTTATTTATGAACAGAATAACATTTTTTTTTTTTTTTTTATAACCCGCCGGGTAGATATAGGAACCACGTAACGAGGCAATTTTCTTTAATCGCCGAATTCGTATTTTGTATTTGTTTTGTTTTTTTTTCTATATAAACTAAACAGTGTGTACACACGCACACGCGCCGCGCACGAAAGTACAAATACCAATGACCCCATTCGGTGCATCGTTTACTACACACGCGCAGCAAAAATTAAATGTAATTAAAATGGTAAAACTATAATATCTGATAAATGAAAAACGATTGTACGCGACAAAATACTAAACTGTAGCAATTATAATATAGTTATATAATATTATATTATAAAAATGATTTGTGTTTTCAACGTTTGTTATCAGTTTATTACCGTGTCACGATGATATTTTGTTTTTGTTTTTCAATTAAAAACAAGTCTCCGCATAGGAATTTCAACCGCGGAATCACAACCGGCGGTGGTGTTTCGAATTTAATATACTTATTTACTACGGACATTTTATTTTCTGATCAGTGAGCGTAGCGAATAAGTTATACGGAATGATCAATATAACGTAAGATACTCATACTTTCGCAGAAAATATTATGAGATAGAAACGGGTCAAAAATGCTTACTTTTTGAGATGAAACTACTACCCGAATTATTCTCATCATACAATAAACTATAAAAGGTTCAATAGGTTTTCAGGAGTTAGTTTTTCTTAAAAATCAAAAATCCCTGATAACATTTAACGATATTGTATCAGTTTTCTTGATTTTTAGGTTACTTTGACTACAAAAGTATGAATTATATAAATAACCATGCTAGTTTACTAAAATCTACTCAGAATCGTTTTTTTATTTCAAAACAGTGGCCTGCCAACGGTGCATGGTATATTATATTTAAAGCTATATGTATATTATAATATATGCGATCATATTCAGAGTCCTTTAAGTCAGTCGTTTACCAATTTTTAAAAAATACACAGAAAATGTATAGGAAAAATAACCAAGACGATGACTCGAACAAGTTTGCATGTTATAATATTATGCAAATACGCGTTTCATTCGATATTTATATTTATATATGATATTACTATAATAATATGCAAGTCGAGTAGAAATCGACTCGTTGACAACTCATATTTTTGTAATCTATACACTGCGCGCTTGCGCGCATGAACGAGAAAAATTCTTCACTCTGGGAATCGTTCCAGAAAATGTAATTGGTTAATTAATAAAAATTATACTTAACGGATACAAATTACTAACCGGGGACATTAAACAGGGCCGAGTAATCTAAAAATAGAATATAAAAACGTTTAAAAATCCACATGTTTTTGTTCTTTAATATACGAAGAGGATAAAAATGTATGTACTCGTACTTGTTAGTAAATAATTAACCCGGTCGAATTCCGTATGTTTATTTTTGTCTTAACATTATATTATGTAAAAAGCTAAATTACAAAAAAAAAATCACGAGGGTGGTTTTCACTTTCTCTGATATCCCACTGTTGATTTTGGTAAAAACACGTTAACCCCCATCCCCTCCACATAAAGGAAAAATACAAAAGTACAATTTGTTTGGAAATACGAAAGGTTACGTAAAAACGAATGTGCCTAGAATATAAAGAAATAAATAATATTTTTTTCCGGTTAACCGACGGCAGAGGCGGTTCTATGTTAAAAATTAATAATATTTAATGAATTCTAAAATGCTAAAATGATGTTTGTCTATATGAAATGTTTTCATCTATAAATTTGATAATAGGCGTTTTATGTTCCAATATTTATATTGAAGAGTGTTTTGATCTGTAACACAATATAGAACAGAACATATTCGCACGGGAAATGTTTTAGAACAGATTTCACGAGAAAACGATAAATAAGTTTGAGACGTTATTTAATTAAAGACGTGAATTAATAAATTTGAATATTAGTTGATCAATTTTAAATTATTAAACGCGTTAACAGTATATATAGAATATCGAATGGAAAATGTAAAAGTTATTTATATACTCTGCCGTGTTTGCTGTATACACCCGCGGAAAACCTATAACTTAAATAACTATTTTGCATAATATTATAATACTTTAAAAATAGCCGATATTACTGATAGTTGTGGCGTTCTTGTACATAGAAAGTTGGGAAGGTAGGATACACAGTTTTTTAATTTTATATCTGTACGAAACGATAAATCTCTGCTAACAAAATACGATTATGACCGAAGTTCGGTTAAACATGTTTTGTGATACCATGATTTTTAAATGATTTTAGTTAAAAAAAAAAATAAAAAAAAAACACTATAACATTACGGTCAACTTTCATTTTTTTATATTACTAAGTACAACTTATGATAAACATTATATTAGATTTACAAACATCTGCTTGACTAAAAAAAATTTGTTCTTCTAAAACTCCTAAAAAAAAATTCGAAAATATTAAATAAGTACCTATAGAAATAGTTCGAAAATTGCAGTTTTAAAAAATTATACCACGTCTAGAAAAGGCGAATAAGTACTCTGTGCAATGATTGGATCTCTATAATTATTTTTAACCGAATTACTGCAAAAAAAAAAAAATAATGATTGGCGTACATTTTCCTGTTTTTCTTACATTTATTCCCGGATTTTCCTGATAACTAAGAAAACTACAAGGAAAATCAAAAGTGGCCTCTCCATTACCAAGTATATAGAATTTACTTTCAAAAAGATGCAACAGTTTAAAATATGCTTTAAAAAGATTTCTGGTACAAGTCTTTTACCAAAAAAACAACACATTCATAATCTAAAATAACTATAATATACTTTGCACGGACAAAAAAAAATATTCGTTATTAATACTAGATCAGTCCTGACAATACTATCCTTTCGACAACGCATAAATTCAAAGAAAAATATTAATTTAACGTGAAATTTAACTTACTATATATTCTTCGTTTAATTCACCTTCATCTATCATTAATATTATAGGTGTTTTATTAATAAAAAAGAATACTAAGCATTCGAAATAATTAATTATTAATCAATCACAGTTAATCGAGTTTATTCGATTACATTATAATATGTTATTATAGTTCCACGTTATAATTAAATAATACAAATAGAAATTGAATGCGTTATCGCTTTCGTACTCGCATAATAATAATAATAAAGGTAATTTGTATACACGTATTAATAAAAAAAAGAAAATAATAATAATAAAAAAAAAAGGATAACCTAGCTTTAGAATCACCATTATCAATAATTTTATTAAACTGCAAATTAAAATTTTAAAAGAATTATTATTGAAATAAAACGATAAGTAAACATAATGATATAATATTCGGATCACAGTGAAACGTCGGTAATATATTGGCCGGTTCTCCCCTCAAAATTTCACATTAATAATTTTTTTTGTATATATATATATAAGCAATATTTACATTTTGCAATATTTTGTTAACAGCGTATACAGTTTATTCGCAATTAATTATTATAGTCAAATATTACAATAAAAAAAGTTAGCCAAAATCAATAGTGTACATATACATTTAGATAGCAGACAGATATAATCACATGGAAGTTATGAAATTTGGCAGGCATATACTAAAGAACAAATATTAACCGATGCAATATTTTGTTTATAGCACGATAATATAGAAACCAAGGTAGACTTGATAGCACAGATTATAAGTACTATAAGTATACCTATATAATTGTAGAGCTTTCTAACATAATACTATCCGTATAAATGTTTGAAATCATCAACAACCGCTATTTGTTTTTTTTAGACCATGGGTGTTATCATTAATTTATTTATATTAAACTGTTGTATTTTGACCATTTTTACTGTGGTTACCAAACCAAGGCCGTGATTGTTTCTAATATTACACAATTATAACAATATTATCATAATATAAAAAGGTTTACAAAGTGATTCAATTAAGCGGGTACAATCATTATCTCGAAAAATATTAACTTGTGTATTAAACAACATTTAAGAAACAAGCAGCTCTACAATTTTACTTAAATGCTATTTTTTGTCATTCTTATTTTTGGAAGTAAAACATTACCTACAGTTGATTTTCAAATGGCAACCAATATTAAAAATCCATTTATAGATGGAGTATTAGTTATAATACATTTTGGTATTGACATTTTTGATTTCCGTCGACCCATTGGCTATTGACAAGATATTTAAGCTTAGGTAGACGGTAATAAACCACATTTTTGTCTTTTTTGTATAGATATTTAATATATATATTATATATCTGTACTTCAAAGAAAAAAAATTCAAATATATTCCATATAATATCACAATATTTCAACACAAATATTTCATAAGCTGCCAGGTTTACCGTTAAGATACTCAAAGAGTCACTAATCTAGTTGTTATGTACCTATATAATACTAAATTATAATAGTGACAATTATTTACGTCAGCTATTCAAAAGACACACGATACATCCAAGCACTTATTTCGAGTTTAAAAAAATAGGGATATTTTAAGAGTAATATATAATGTATCACACTGAACTGTACATACATTTTAGTTTCTATTTCAACTTGAAAATCAATAATATTATACCTAAGTAAATTGTTATTAACGGTAGAGCGGGAAGGGGTAGAAATATATCTTTTAAAATGAAAGAAAGTTTTATTTTTTTAAAAAAAAGGTTACGATTTATTAGGTAGCATAAAATCAAAATCCTAGGTGGATAAAAAAAACACGTGTTCATTTTTCAACTACACGCGCTCGAGTACACAATATAATGGAAACATATGTTTTTATTAAATAAAACAAAAACACTAGTCAATAGTTCACTTTCGAAAAAGCCCACAGAATACAAATATATAGAGCACGCGTATTCGTTATAGCTGATGATGTGTGAGGTGGTATAGATACATAGGTACGTGGAAAGCGTCCCAATAAAAAATATTTTCAGACGTTGGCTCTCGGCTCGGTCAATAATGGTTTAAATTTAAAATTAGTATACTAAACCACGTGGGTAAATTTCCTTGAAAACTCGTATAATATTATATAGCGTGTTAAATAGTCGTCGTGTATATTATATACAATATTCGTTGACACATTTTTTTCGCCCACTAATTTTTACGTCCAACTACTCGACGACAATTGATCCAAACGATTTATTTTTAAAAACGAGTTTTTAACCGACCGATAAATGATAAACGATGATAATTATCGTAGATATATTATTTTACTCTAAAGAGGTCAATGACAATAACATAATTTAAGATAGGTATATCAGCTATTTTTTTGTATATATATATATAACTACAATTATTGAGAAATTAAATTTGTTTTTTACTTTCAACTTATTAGAATTATAAGTAATGAGTTATAACTAAGGATCAAGACCTATTGCACTTAAATTTCACAAAAAAGTACTTCAATAAAATATTAAAAGAACAAATGGTAGAAGGATTTAAAGATCCTCTGTCTAACGACGTCAAGTTATTAAATACAATTTTCTAACACGACACAAATGATAAACGAATCGTAAATTTGTTTAAATAAAAAAAGATAACTTTGGTTAATAATATGTGTAGCGTTAAAGAATTTTATGTAATAAGTACAAGTCGTAAGAGAAGGGACATTTAAACCCTTCTACAATTTTTGCTTTTTCAAATATTTATCAAGTGCTTTTTTGACGTTTTTAAGCACTTTTTTGTGGATATTAAGTGCAATAAGTCTCGAGCCCTAGTTATAACTAATCGATTAGTATTAAATTCATATGCTATATTATATTCCATATTATGTTCCTAAATTATGTTTTTTTTTATGTTATTTAAATGTCTTCAGTAACGACATCAATAAAAGAATAAAGAATCATCATGTTCGATGTTTGTGGTGAAACTGCCACTTATTACAGACCTTATGACACTCGTTTTATGTATAACACATTTTGAAGCTAACATAAGATTATGCAAAAAAGAGATAGACGCATATTGGAAACGGCAACTATGAGTCTATCTCTTTCGCACATATATTGTAATCAATATATATATATTATAAAATATATCTATTAAACTTATAAGTCTATAAAAGTAATATGAATACTATCGAAATAAAAAAAAATGTATAAAAATGATTTACAGCATAATCTTTTTAACGTGATGAGTGACTAAGCCATTGAGAATTTCTGATTTAATGAAAAAAATTAACAATAAAACCGGTGTCTTCGCTGATGAATTTATAAACATTATTATAATGCAGTTTTAATGTAGGAACCTAAAGTTATTATTTTTTCAACCAAAATAAATATCTAAGACGAAGATAAAGATATCAATTATTTAGAAAAAAAAAATAATAATAATAATAATAACACTTAGGTATGTCAATAGTGGACAATATGAAAATTATTTGAAGGTCAACCATCTATACTCAGTATTGTCACCTTTAATCGAGCTCAAATCATAAAAAAAAAAAAAAACGAACATACTTCACAAAATAAGTGAATCACTGTTGTAAGTGAAAAGTTGGGAAGGTAGGATATAAAGGGAAATTTATTTTATATCTGTAAACAACGATTAATCATTGATAACAAAAAGCGATTCAGAGCGGAGTTCGTTTTTAAAGGGTTTGAAAGACCGTAATATTTACGATTTTCGTCAAAATTTGATATTAAAATTTATATGAAAAACAAATTTTACATTTCACAGATTTTTTTTTTTTTTTTATCACAAAGTTCGCAATTTATCATGAACTTCCAATTAAATTTTTCATTTCCAAACATTTCAGTTTGGCCTTACTATTTTATTCACAGGATACCTATCAAATAAAAATTACGTAAAAAACTCGTAAAATCAAAATTTCACAAATATCTCAAAAATAGCTAAACATTTTTGAAAATTTGACCACGTCTAGAAAAGTCAAATATAATCTTTCTGTCCAAATTTCAAATGAATATGAATATTTTTAACTAAATTAGAACAATAATTAAAATTAAATATAATACATTTCATATATTTTCTCGTTTTTACTAAATTTTTTCTCAGCTCTAATGAAGAACACCTGGAAAATCAAAAAATGACCGAGTTAAAGTGCCACCGAGATATAATTTCCTTTCAGGAAACGTATTACACTTGACAATCGGAGCAAGGTTTCTCATAAAAAAGTTGTTTACAGATAAATAAAAAAAGTAAAGATCAATATAAAACCACTACATTCTTTGTTTTCACTCAGAATCTAAAAAACGGAGAAAGAGAAAATCACGTTCGAGAAACTCTCTCTTTCTCCCTGTAATATAATTCAACGACCTTAAAGTAAAATGTATGAAGAAAAATATTAACTTGATGAACAATAATTATATCATATACTTTAAAAGTTCTAAAAACGAATAATTTAGGAAAAGTTGACAGAGTTCATTCGAAAAAGAAAATAAAAATGTATAACTGCATAGTAACTCACTCGTGACACGTCTGAAATCAATACGAGAACAAAATCTAGAAAAATGAATAAATTAATACCTACACTGGGCGGAAAATCCTCAACTTTAAAGTAATGTTTTCGAAGCGTATTGAAGTAACCGAAAAAAAGAATTTTTGGTGAAAACTAATACGGTTTCTTTGTTAGGAATCACTTTTAGAAAACGTATATTCGAGTAGACTCATCGCCCCGCCGCGAGTCACGTAATACAAATTACCTATATAAATCGGTGAAGCTAGTGTTACCGACGTAAGTATAACACAACAACAACAACATAAAAACAAGTAATAGGAACAAGAAATCGTAATAGGTAAATCGTCTTCGCTCGATATATTATAGAGTACATAGCGTACATATTATTATTATTAGTCCTGTTATATCCAAAGACGACTTGTATTATTGTTTAAGTTCAAGGACGCGATAATTATTATGATAATAATGATGACAACTGGTTTTACTACCTACCTACCTACCTACCTACCTACCTAGTATACAACTCTTCCCCATCAACGGGAAACACGCATATGTGCGTACGTGCGTGCAACGTTGACGGCGGATGCCGTCGGGAAGGGGTCGGGTACACATATCACGCGTCATACGTATACGCATCCAAAGCACAGACTGCTGTAATACGACACCAAAAAAAAAAAAAAAAAAAAAAACGACGGAAAAAAAAAAAAAAAAAAACATACGACGGTAAAAAATAATAATAAAACATAACACAGCGATCCGAATTCGTCACGTGCCTTATTTATTATTTTTTCATTTTTTACCGTACAACACGGGCTTCTGCGGCTCCTGTTCGCGAAAACGACGCGCACTGCAGTTCGAATAAAATGAGAAAATATGGTCGCGACAAAAATCATTTCCCCTCTCCTCTCCACGTACATACTGTTATACCTAACCTAAAGAATACAGTTGCAGCTGTATAAATTTCGTGTCAAAAAACTAATTGGTAGATAGGTATATTACAAAAATATAAAAAACGACAAAATATTGAAATAGATGAAACGTTACACTGTCGCGCGTTTATTATATTTTATAATTGTATTATACGATCAAAAATATGCGGTTCTGAAGCTATTTTATGTGCGGATGAGTAAATAATATATGTATGTTTTCGAAAATATATTTAATAAGATATTTTATATTATGTTAAAAAATTGACGGTAGCCTATAATAATATATAAGTAAGCGTTATATATATATTGTGTCGTATAAACACAATGTATGCAAATTATTATTATGGATTCAATAGGCACACGAAACAATAAAAAGGTGACCAAATTGTCAAATACCCCCTTCTCCACCAAAAAAAAAAGGAAAATCACACAATCAAATGTTGTCACTGCTTTTCGGAGCGTATTTATATTGAATTTAACTTATATTACTCCGCTCGGAATCGTTATTTGTTAGCAATGATCTGTCGGTGCGTACTACAGTATACGAATTAAGAAATTACCCTTTGCATTGTCCTACCTTTCCAACTATTATACCGCCTGCAACAGTACAAAACTACCCCGTGAGTAGTCTCAATGAATTTTTAACATAGAACTTGCCGAGTATTAATGTATTGATTGCTACATGTAAATTGTCGTATACCAAATAAGGCTCGTTTTGTTTAATTCGACTTTGTTCAATCGAGCTCGTTATATTTCCATTGACGGTCGCCGCAACAGCCTTTGATCATATCGGTCGGTAATAATAATATGCACCGATACGATTTTCGTGTATAAACCGCCGCCGCCGCCGGGAACACACGCCTGTGCGCCGGGTGTACACCGGCCATTTTCCGAGATATTATGACTTACAACAAGCGGCAACAAAAAGCGATCGGTTTGTCGCCGGCGCGCGTGCTGTTTACGTTCAACAGGCGACGACGCGCCCGTTTCTACACACACAACTTTGAACGACCAACCGGGCGTCTCTATACACCGGTTTTCGATTATTACTATGTAGGAATGTGCCTCCGCCCGGGATACGCGATCGCCGCGGTTATTTTTCCGTAATACCACTGGCGATATCGTAACGGCGCGACCCATAGTGCCCTCGTAGTGGTGTAAGTATAGTGACCGCTAAAAATGGACTTTCGAAATGTTGTCATTATTTGTTGGCTTTTTTGGTACGTCCGATAAATATGTATGGCGCATAAAAACACACCTGAATCTGTTAAAAAATCATTGATTTCTCAATGCAATTATTATTTTTACATGAAAAGTATGTTGTTTTTTTTTTTTTAATCTTTTACTGTTTATTTATCTTACAATCATGTACGATCCAGTGGCGTATATTACGCAAGGACAATCGAGGAAAACACCTCGGGGCGATACTGAAATTAGTATACAATGACGCCCCGGCTGCATTTAATTCTGATTTATTAAATATATTATAGATTATAATATATACTGTACCTATACATTTCATTATCAGTAATAAACGCCGTTAATAATATTAACTACCTAACTACGTTTTGGTGTTGTTTTAATTACTGTAAGGTGTGACCATACGTGCTGTTTTATGCAGGACTGTCCATTTTTTTTTAGCTTTGTGTCCTTGTTGTCCTGAAGAACTTTTTTCGGGACGCTTTTTATCCTGTTTTTTTTTTTTTATATCGATGTCAATTATTCCGTATTAATTTTTATTTTATTTTTGAATAAAATAAATTCGTTGACAAAAATATCCGTTATAGATTATGATGATAGCGATTGTATTCATGAAAAATAATAACCACAAGAATCGATACCGGCAGATAATGCATCAAAGATATACGGGTGTATTTAAAATAGTAAATAATATTAGGCCTAATTTTGAAAAATTAACAAAAAAAAACCTATAATAACTAATAAATATTACTTTCAATGCATTACTAAAATTATTTTGTCTTGGTTTTATTTTTTTTTATAGTCACCCTAAGTTACTGCAATTTATTCACAAAAATGTTTGAATACTGAAAAAACACAAAAACAAAAACGTATATTTACGACATTTTAAAATCGATTTTTGCATAGATGAATTCTTTCTAATCTCATTTATGAGAAATTATTAGTTACTGCATTTGTCACTACGAGAGCAATATTTAGTTTAGACCTAAAAATAAAAGGAAACAAATTACATAGCATGAAATTTCATGCTATGCAATTATATTTAAAAAAAAAATTACAAAAGTTTACTCAAGGGGATACAAAATATACAAAATTGAAGACAAATCGATAACTTAGAAATTATCGCCACTCACGGCAACGACGATACGCCGCGTCCTCGTGTGGGTAAACAAAACTCGGCACGCGTCGGTATACATGTAGCAGCCGCCACCAACGAGGTGCCAGCTGCAGTATAATGTAAATGGGGGTACGTATAAATTACTATTATAGACGTGTTTTGACGATTCGGTTTTCGGTAAGCCGTAATTCACGTTGTTTGTGACTCGGTTAGAATATCGCCAACAAGTTTTGTTCACAGAGCATATGTGCTATACCAATGGATAACCAGTAACCAGTGACCACGGTTACATAGATAGAATGGTAAACGGTCGCTCAACGACGAATCATATAATACGACGGCCTGCAGCCCGAAAAAGGTTCTTGTTAAATTTAACATTTTCTCCCAGACTTCCGGTGGAACTATTAACGAATTAACAGAATTGTCCAGATCGCAATGATAATATACCATGGTAGTTTTATCCAAAATTGACGTGGTAATTTCAACTATAGATCGTTCCGCAAAGCGGGAAGATTTTCATATTTTCGATGAGAACTTTTGGGGCCGATTTTTAGCCACTCTTTGTGCAACCGTTCTATCTACAACACGGTGCAGTCGTGACCACAGGTCGCTGAAAACTGTATCGCCAAAACACGTCTTATCATCGGTGGCATATAAACACCGGGTGGGCAAGGTGGGAAAATGCCACGGACCCACAACAGACAAGGGCCTTAGCTGCAGTGCTCTAGACCGGGGCATTAATAAACGGGCGGGGGTCTTTTCGAATAACCCCCTCCCCTCAATCCCATTTTTTTTTCTCGTCGGTTCGGCTTTTATTAGGACCTTAATACAATATTTTGCCACGGGCATCAGGAGTTCTAGTTACGCCACTGCTTATCATCGTATTATTTTCGCGTTATAAAGTGCGCGCGCGCCGTGCCGTCAACGTAGGACGCCGCCGCCGTTTATAATATAATATCGCAATAATACGTAACGGCGACGGCCGTAATGCGCGGTGTACAAGAGGGCGTTGACGCGCAGTCGGCCCATTTTTGGTCACCGGCCACCGAGGGGTAACATAATGCGGCGGCGGCAATGCCGTACGCCTGCCGCGATCGTACCGGTCGTACGGAGCGCGTACGGCGGAACGCATGCGCGTCTATTTTAAATATTCGCTCGCCGCCGCCGCCACCGCCGGTACACGAAAATAAACGCGGATCTAGGCCGACCGGGATCCCTCGCGACCGCGGTGCTATAAATACCGGAGGCGGCTGCGGGCGCCCTAACGTCGGGCGTTTTGTTTCGCTCGTGTACACACGCGCACGAGTCGCACGGGGTTTAAAACTCCGGCGGATATTATTGCAGTGATGGACCGGCACCATCTGTTCCCCGGCAATACGGCTTTACTATTACATTATTAAATATTTTCTTCGTTTTGTATTTTTCTCGATTTCGCGACATAAAATATAATCGTCCCGATAATAGGCATTTTTCGATTATCACAGTGAAACTTCATAGGACTTGAACGTTATAATGCGTTTCAAGTAGTGTAATCGACAGTTTCCAAGGTTCAAAATGTATACAGCTATCTGCTATTAACAAATAACTATTATAAGATTCTATAAGATATTATGTTCTAGAAAATATCAATGGCGATTTTCGAATTAAATACTACTTATAGCGTTATACGTTCGTGGTTGAGTGTAAGCTCGACGTTATGATTTCTAAAAGTTGAAACATATACAAATTGATAACGAATGGACTGACGTCGTTTTATTTTCATCGTCAAATCTTATCAAAATTCAACCGTTTAAACCGCAAGCTTAAGCGTGAATCCTCAAAATGGCCGCATTAAATATTTTAATAATTATTTTGTTGAGATTTTTTTACAGTAACCCAATAGCCAATAAGGTTTATAAGCGGAAAACAACTTGTTTGTACAATACAGTAACCTGGTTATATTTTATAAAACTGGCCTATAATAAATACGTAAACACATTCGTGGGCCAATTTCCGATCGACGATTCCATAACGGTATTGTTAAGTTATTTGCATACGAGACGAGAAATCCGATCCTGAAAAAATCCAATTTAATATGCGATAGCATTCAAATTTAAATTAAAACTTGGCTGAAATTATTAAATTCAATTTCAAATAAAATTTAAAATATAAGAATAAAAGCGAATTTTCATTGAAAAAATACGACAGGAAATAAATGTTGTAGATTAAAGTCACTCGAAAGATCTATAAAAGATTTATATCTACACGCAACGATAAACTATTGATAACGGGAAAACGATTGCGAACAGAATATTATTAGTCGTATATTTCCCTTGTTGCGAAGTAATCCAGAAAACAACAAATAGCTAGTTTTCCATATTTATTAAGAAAAGTACGAGAAAAATAAAAAAATGACGTCTTTAATGCACTAACTATAAGACAAAAAATGCACAAAAAAGTTTTTGTAAAGATTTGGTTGAAGCAAGATTTCTAATGAAAAAGTTGTTTACGAATACAAAAACAAAAACACATAATAAAACCAATACATTCCTCACTTCAATTAGAATCTAAAAAGAACAAGTATGGTAAGTAGACTTATATAAACGAGAAAAATTATGCTATATAAATATCATAAAATAGAGTTAAGGAAATTGGGTTTATTCGGTAATGGATATTTTGACTGGATTTTTTTTTATCCAACGTCTAGTATACTGTATACAACACTACATATTATATACGAATATTATACGACTCGATCGAATAATGAACATTCCGAAATGTATATAAAACGACATTATAATTGTACAAGAATATAATATAATATCCTTCGTGGTACGTTATTTTACGCTCAAAATACGATAAAGTGTAGTAAAGTAATGTTATTGTATGTACGTTTTACCCGAGCACCATTCACTCAAAATGTTATAGGTTAGGTTAGGTTAGGAAAGATTTTAAACATTCGTTTAACATCGAGCGTTTATGAACTGACGAAGTTTTTTAAAGAGTTAATGTACAATTTATTTTCTATGTCAGTCCCAATGCATCATAGACTAAACCGATTGTTGAATACATATTAATGATTTTTATAGTCATTATAAAATTATAAAAACCCAAAACAAGTAATACTCGTACAAGCATAGTATTAAAAAAAAAAAAAAAACCGTAAATAACTGCAGTTTATTACAGATTATTATAAAGTTAATGTTATACTGACATTATTATTATTTTTTTTTTTTAATCATTTTATTGGCACTCAAAAAAACGTACTAAAAATGTCATGTATATGAATCTGTATAGTCAAATTGTCTATATAAACTATGCATATAAAGTACACCTCCTGACTATTTCGAAAAAAAAAATAATGAAAACGATTAATTCTATTCACCTAATTACAATTATTTCTAAAACTGAATTATAGTACTCGGGTGAATACTATTGATGATAACTATTTTTTTTATTTTTCATAAGGTTAAGCAATGATATATTATATAATTGAATATTGTTCACAAAAAAATTAATATACAGACAATATTATACATCGAAAATAAAACGAACCACTAAGAGAGGCCTTTAAATGTGCACCTTAAGAGGTATTACCACATGGCAGGCCTAAAAAAAGATATATTAGTAAAGGGGTGGTGTACAGGAAATTTTGAGCGTTGTGTATACTAAATCGGGTAGTCAGCAATAATGACCATTACAAAAATATCCATTTACTAAAATGACTAAAGAAAAGTATGGTCAAATATAAAAATTTAATAAAAAACATTTATTTTTAAAAAATCCAATTTTTTTCCATGGCCAAATATTTTTATCTGTCAATTTCAGCAGGTATAAGCAAATTTTTTCCGTGGCCATAATTACTTATAGACTCAGTAAATCGAAAGTGAGTCGTGGTAAAAAATAAAGGAAAGATAAGATAGGTGACGTTACATAATATTATTGCAATATGTCGACTAAAATTCTTAAGAGATTAGCTACGTCAGAAGTATTGGTATCTACCTAGTGAATGCGGTTAGGATAGGTTATAAACTCATAAAAAAATGATTCGACTCAGAAGTGGGACACTCAACTGAAGACTTAACACACACTTGTCCACAATAAAATAAAAAATATTATATGAATAAGGAATTTTTATAATCAATAAGTAAATTTGAAGTACTTTTTTTTTTTTTTTTTGACAAATATTTTTACGATTGAAGATCATAAAATATTATAAACCGCATGTAGATCCGGCACAAAAACTTACAAGATAATAATAACGTAACACACTTTTTGAATATTATAGAAATCTTGAAAAAATAAAATAAAGTAGATCCTTTATTTTACAAATAGATAGGGGGGGGGTAGCTTTGAAAACTCGTATAATAAAATTCTGCAGATATTTTCAAAAACCATAACTTAAAGTGGTATAAAATAGTGTAATATTATAAATTTCATAAAAAGAAAATGTGGGCCATCTCGCGTTAGGGAATTTATATTTTATAAAGATAGATCAGACTCGATACGATGACGACGAACACCACCTCATTAAAAAAACCTTGGTGATATTATTATTATTTTTTTTCATTTGCTTGCGCTAAGGACGACTACACTACTACTAGACGATATAAATAATTTGTAATGTATATATAGTTTAAAATGTATAAATAGATGTACGAATAATTTATTGCTGGTGAGTCACACTGTACAAAATGATTGAAGCTTCGGGTAACTTAATATTATATATTAAGGGGGGACGGACACTGGCCCCGGGGGCCACATTTCAAGGGGGCATACAAATATCTTACAAAACATCGTAACATAGTAATTTTATATTATCATTTATTAAATAATAATTTAATAAATCAGTTTCTTTTCTATTGGGACGATAAAAGATTTTTTTTTCAGATTAACCCCATCCCACTGTTCACATTTACTTACTGCAGAGCCTGAAATAGTATGTTTTAAAGCGCAAAGTGTAGGGCACAAAATTGAATGTGTGCAGCTCTAATTGTCAGTTTGTTGTAAACAAAAAACGGTTTATATAAAAAGGGGCAAAAACCTCAAAATTGGAAAAACGTCTTTCAGTCTTTGTTTTTATACTATAAATGAAGAATAAAACGATTTGACAAAAAAAATGTCCCCGAAAACTTCACTTTTAAAATTGTACTTATACGTATATACTAGATACGTATACGTCACTTCAATTTGAGTATTATAGTAATTTACAGTTTGTAGGCTATAATGGTTATGTTTCGCATTTCTCGTTTATATTCCGTGTTTTACACCTACTAGGTGCCGAATTTGGCCTAAAATCAAAATTGTATGTATCAACATCGCATACTCCCAGCAAATGTCCATACATTTTTCTATACCGAAATGGTTTACCTATCGATTTTGGCCTGAAATCAAAATGAACAAACGAAATAAATTACGTATAGCGATTCGATCACGGTAAACAAATTTTGATTGGTTATAAGAAAAAACGTACGGATATTAGCGGATAATAGCAGGGGTGGATTTTAGGAGACGAGCGACCTAGCCATCGCCCTCACCTTGACATTTTTTTCTCGCCTCCACCGGTGGTTTAGTAGTATACACCAGGCGAATTCCAAATATTTAGAGGCCCGTAGCTGATTAGACGTTTATAAGGTTAGAAAATTAATTTTGAATAAATACAATATCTAATTATATATTATACAATTATTATATATATATATATATATATGTATTCAGTATATAACTGTGTATCCGATTGATTTTAATCTTATTTTCTTATCGTTTTAAATAATATTAGTAATATACTACACTGTATCCAAATTACATATTTATCACGGTTAAAAAAGCATTGATAATTGTGTACATTGGTAAAATTGATAACCTCCCTATTTTAGGTATTCAATATGATCAAGTTTATACGATGAAAATAATAAAAGCATGTGAAAATGGAAATTACCCCCTCCACTCTGCCATTGATGGTTAAAGATCCCTTGAATTATACATATATCAATTCGCCCCCTCCCTTAAATGTTCTTCAGATCCACCCCTGGATAATAGAGAACCTATACGCATAATATTATATAATTTCAACGGGTTTTTTTTTCGTTTTAAATAAGAATAAAAATGGTTGGACAAACTTATGACGAGTAAAATTCGTCATGTTTAAAATATGAAATTAAAAGTACGCGACATTCGTGCGTTACAGCCTGGCGGGCGGCGACTGTTTTAATAGATAAAATCATTAACATTATTGGTATTTTTTAGCGCCGTAGAAAAAAAACTATAGACCAGCAGTTTGTTTGATAAGATAATAATAGTCAGTCAATATATGTTTTAAGAAAAATACAACTTATGCAATAGTTGGTACCTAGTAAAAATAATTAGAAATTTACAAATTACAAGCGTGTTACTATATGCGCGCTTTAACGAATTCAACGGACACACCGTTGACCTTCCGCGAAGCAAATCGCGTGCTTCTATCTTCGGAAATCGAGAACAGTAAGTTTAAAATTAAATAAAACACAATGGGATAAAAGTAAAAAAAAAACCAAATAGACACGATATATATTCGTCTAGGTATATAGATAATCGCAATAATCCATTCTCGTTTGCCGGTATTGGAAATGTGTTTGTGTGTATGTGTGTGCGTACTTAAAGAACTCGGTCACTTTCACTCATCGTTTCTCGTACCCGGCAAACGGTAAAAGACTATAATGTTTTACCAACGGACTATTACATTGTAGAAGAGTTCGTGCGAAAATGAAACCGCCCAAAAAGTGTTTGTATAGCCAGTGATGGGAACACTGGCAACAGCTTTCACGGCGATCCGTGGAGTCGAGGCCGGTAAAAATAATACAACGAAAAAATAAAAATACACCAAGACCCGCAGAAGCTGGATTCTATCAGTAATGGTTAGAATGATTGTTTCTCTACGTTTTCTCCGTTATAGCTCGTTTAAGCTACCCGGTGTGTTCTTTTTCCGGTGTCTTCCATCATTCTCTTAATAAATGGCATCCTTCTAGGCCTTCTCTTCTCGGGAATCTTTTATTTTTGCAGTTATTAGAGGGTTTTTCTTAGTGAAGTTTCCGATTCACCAACCGCTCATCATTTTCGGCATTCGGCGTATTTCACATTGATTTTTAGTGTATTCATTATCATACAAATTTCATCATTCCTTACTTTGTCTGTCCATACAATTCTAACACTCTTTTCCATCACTATACTTCGAAAGCTTCTATTTTAGCTGTCCCTGTTTTCGATATACAGTCTATGTCTCCGCTAAAATAACTACTCGTACAATATTACATTATATTGAAATTGGCATCGTGAATGCGTTGAAACTATAGATATTAAATAGTTGTTTTTCAATTGAAACGAGTTAAACAACAGACAGAAAAAAACCCATGAATCCCATTACAAAACATTTATTTTCTCCTTGTAATTTTTATTTATTCGTACCTTTAATCTGTTATATTATCGTTTCTATCTAATATGAATTCACCGTATTTATCTTAGACATTCATTAATTAAGGCCAGGATTTCAATACAAAGTACATTTTTATGGGTTATTTAAAACGATGATTTCCAACTACACAATTTAATTCGCGTAATAGCAGTAGACACTTCAAAAGTGAAACTTTTATTTTGCATCGTTTAGCATGTTTCAGTCGGTTTGCTAGTTTTTAGTGTATATTTATACATTATAAAATTTTTTAATTTAGATAATTCAAATTATTATCTCAAGAAATTTTTTTTTTCGTGATATTTTCCTGAACAGGTTTTACTGGTTTTAAGTAGTCACCGTCCATAATTCCGTACGGATTGTCAATCGTTCTATTTGTGATATCGATAACGTCTTTATGTCGTTATAATAATTATTAACGCCTATGACGCGTCATCCGGACTCAAAAAAAATCATAGTATTATATTGATCGGTTAGGTGTTACATCGCGATCGCGTTTATTTCCGTACAAAACACATGGCTGGGTTTTTAAGGGTATTTTTGCGGTAAAAGGATTTTTTTTTTGTGCATTTTTCAATAATTTTTCGTACGCTACGGGACCAATAAACAACATAAGACGTACAAAACATATAAATATAAATTAACGGACGACGATCGGAGAAAAAACGACACGGTGTATAAACGTAAAACGTAATCTATAACCACCACACCTACAGCTTTTCAACGTGAAAATCTCGGCCATTACTCGGCGCGTAACAGAAGTGGCCTACGGGTCGAATACAGTTGTACGTCTACTCCGTTTATTATTGCAAATTATTATAGGATATTAATAATAGTAATAATAATAATTTATCTTCGTCCGTTATATTTGCATTTGTTTTATTGGCGGAACGGCCGTCGCCCCGGTAACTACGGTAGCAATAATATTATAGCAATGAACGTCCAACGGTACAACTACGGTCGCGACAACAACAATAATAATAATTATCGTTATTACAATCGCGATTATTATTATGATCATTGACGTCGTGCGTCGGGGTGACGGCGACGTTTCTATATTTGTAATCGGGAGGGAAAGCGCCGGCAAAATGTCATCCCACTTGGCAACTGTACAGGCGGCGGCGACGGCGGCAACATAACATGATATCGTTTGCGATAAACCATAAGGCAGCAGCCACCGCCGCCGCGGTTTTACGATCCAAAAGCTACGGGGTAGGGAGGGGCGCTCGTTCGGAACGATCGGTTAGTTATTTATCAATGGATCCGTCGCCACTGTTGTCTAATAAAATATAGGTAAATTAAATGACGTTGTCGTCACCGTCAGGGAGTAGGGGATCCAGTATCGGGGAGCACCGCAAGAAAAACAGTCTGTCGTCAGTTACGACCGCCGTGCCCGACGTTTCTTGTGTATACGGGTGCTGCGCGTCGTATCACGACCCGTAACCGAGAATAAAACTATTGGACCGGGAACGAAAAAAAAAAAATAAATAAACGTTGCAAACGTCATCGCCGTCATGTATTTTCGCATCAGGAGCTGGGGAGTCTGACACGGTATTCTCCCGGAGTCACCGTAGTTTTAATGAAATAAAAATATTGAAATATAGCTGCACAAACCGGAATAGATTAAAGTGAGTGTAATCGGGTGTGACCTGGTTGGATAAGGGTGAGGTATGAGTGTGCAATGGATAAGTATTTAGTACCGATATCCCCGAGGCTCCTAAAGCGCAGTGGGAGAACCGAGAGAGAATAATTTGAGATGGTATACGGTATGGGCAAGAAGGTAGTAATAGTGAGTCAAGTGATGTCAATAAAATGGATTATACAAAAACCAAAGAAAAAAGGGGAGGGGCTAAATGTAATTATAGAAGAAATATGAGGGCGAGTGGGGAGTTGGTAGGTAGATAAAAAAAACGGCGATGTAGAGGCTAACCCTATTTGCGTGGGATCAAGACAAAGAGGTTAGATTAGTTAGGTTAGCTTTCTAACTATCGTAGTAGGTAGCTTTATATGATTTTTGACTATAAATATAGATAGCAGAGGAAACTGTGTAACGGGGAAAACGAGGTATTCTTTTTCTTTCTGGCGATAAGGAAAAACGCGTATTAGTGTATGAAATAATGTCATGATGTCGAGAGGTTTAATGTTTTACACGGTTTATAGTGGCTCAGTACAACAGTTCTCGATCCCGACGAGGGTATTTTATTATTACGTTCAAACGACCGCATAATACCATTATAATAATATTATAGTGGTAATAATAATAATATATTCAGATGTTACTCCGCGTGTACACCGACAGCTGATTACGTAGCTCGTCTTATTATCAAATAGGTACAATAATATGATCTCAAAAAAGCTTTTGTACCTAACGTACAGAACGTTTTATAAATAATTAGGTATCACCAAACCAAGACCACAACGACAACAAGGCCAAGGTTATACAACAAGTTTAATAACAAAATAAAGTTGTTTTTTTTTCTACTTTTAACATTTCTCTTCGTATACATACGAAATACTATACTTATGAATAATAAATAAGTATACCGCGAGACTTAATTACCGACTGACGTGCACAAATTCGTATCTGTCAAAATCGTCAATTAATTATTTGGAAAACGACTCTTTTCGCTACAACAAAGAAAACGTTAACACCGCGTCGTTGAAAAAATAAACAAGAGGATTAGTTTAATTTGTGCTCGAACAGTATTGTAAAAAATACGTAATACACACTTATCTGACGAAATAACAAAATTAAGAATTATTATCAGGATATTTTATCGTTTCGAAGTACCTCTAATACCACAATATTCAAATTAATTATTATTGTAAGTTCGAATTCATTTCGATATAATATGAAATGCCAATTACAGTTAAAAATTATTATTTTTCTTTCCTTAATTTTTTTTTTATCTTCGCAATCTAACAGAGACAGATAGGTACGTGTTTTATAAAACAAAAAATATGAAATACCATTCCCGAAAAACGACGAATTAAACATATACGTTTCCCACGATCCGTTACATACACACATCACAGGTATCTACATACATACATATTTGTATAAACGCACAAATGATTATTGACAATAATAGTAGTTATTATATTATTATTTTTTTTTTTTTTAATTGTACACATAATATATAGGTGCGTTAAAAAAACGACAAAAATCTGCCAATTAACTGAAAAATTACGAACGAGAAAGTCGAAAAATATACGAGCTGTAATATACTGATTGCCAGAGGATCAGCCTTGCACGTGAAAAAATGATAAGAGAATCCAAATATATATATATATATATATATATATATATGAAAAATAGAAAACAGGCTTGTTCTTTGTTTTGAAGCTTTCTTAATAATAATAATAATAAAAAAAAACCATTAGGTCACGAAATACTTGGTAAGAATATTGATACCAACCTAAGTATAATAATAACCAATTCATACAATAAAATGTATATTATATAAGTCATTAGACTGATAATTTATTTAAATAATACCGACGACAAACCTCTGTGGTCTCTATGAAATACGTAATTAATTGATTGTAAAACGGACAAATGAATCAAACATGTCTAAATCTAGGAAAAGTTTTTAAAAACAAATAATAATAATAGTGAATATTTAAACTGTACAATAATAATATTAATCGCCCAAATTTAAAAAAAATACCAAACATTTTTTTTAAATAATTACAAAATAATTGCTGTTAATTTTACATAATACTATTAAGTGCTTTTTTTTTTTTTATAACAGTGCAAAAAAACCCGAAATGTCGGAGACACCAATAATTAAATTTTATTATGTTTTGAAAATTAGTAATACGAGTACCTAATTATTGTATTACTCGTAATTTCCTATTTATACGATTTATAAAACGTTTAAACAAGTCCGATTTGCGATGAGAAATAAAATAAAGCAATAAATATTATAATTTTACTACGTTTTATATAAAACAATTTTCGATTGGTTAATGATTGACTATCGTCTAGTGTCAATATATGGACAACAGAATATAAATTTAAAAAGCCGGACATACCATGGATTGAAAACTCTTGTAAAGTTGGGAAACTATATGGGGTAATTTAGTTTACATAAATATAGGTGAAAGCAACGATAAATCATTACACACAAATAACGATGTCGAGCACAACCAGAAAACAAGGAAAATAAAACCGACGTGTCATCGTGTTTTTTTTTTTTTTTTAATTTTTTTTATAACTACTGTAAAGAAGAAGCGTAAAAAAATATTATTTTTAAAATAAAATAATTAATAATTAACCTAACCTAATGAAAAATTAATTTCATTAGTTAAAATATTGTACTGCGTGATAGCATTTTGCTTTTACAAAATTAAATTTTGATAACAGGATTGACCATTAATTACTAAAATTCTAGAAAAATAATTTTCAATAAGAATGTGACAAATACTTCGTTAATTTCAGATTTTGAATAAAGCGAGGCCACTATATTATAATAAATTTAATGATGTGCGCTAATTTTTTATTATTGTGAACAAAATGTTCGGTTCAAAGAGTTCGAGAAAAGCATCATCCAACACACTGAATAAATACCCATTTTAATTGTTTAAAAATTACACTGAGAATATACACCAAAGACGGTTAAATTATCAATTATCATTTTCCCAATACAATAATTAATCGTTGATTTCAATGTACATACCTACCTAGAAAGAAAGAAAATGACACCTGTATCTCACATTCCTGTAGGTAGTGGCTATTTAAATTTAAATATAAAATATTTCCTACTTGGAAGAACACATTCTAATACATATTATATAAACAGTATATAAATATACTTTAAATGAGTACAGGACAAAAAAAACATTTTGAAGGCACTAGGTCATTTTTAATATGATGGTTATGATTTGATTACCAAATGTTTATTATATATTCAATCGATAACTAACAATTTTGTGAATCTCTATCAACAAGTTTATCATAGGTCAAACAAATTATGTTATTTGTTAATTAATAATAGGTACTTATCCTACAAGGTACATTGAAAAAAAAATCTACTTAATCTCTATGCGGTTAATTTATTAACTGCATTTTGGATAACCTTTTATGCTCGCTTTTATATCATTAGGCCAATTACTGTCCAAAATAAAGTCCATTTTTATCACGAGAGACTATAGAAATACTAAATAGCTGTAAATATGTTGACCTGATGGAAAACCTAATACTGGTATGATGAATACAATAATATTTATGATATGAATGAACTGACCTAGTGTTCTGGTTTACCAAATATCATATGTACCTACCTAATGTTTAACAATGAATAGATTTGTGTTTAAGTATATAATCTATCAACATAGGCGAAAGATAGGTACCAAGTGTAGATATGTATTCTTAGTAGAAAAAAATCATATCAGAGATTAACACCATGAAGATCGTACTGACCATTGTAGTGGCCTCGATTGTACGCTTGAAAAAACATTAGGAGATCAGTCACAGTTCAGTTGGCACTATATTCAATCTGTTAAACTTGACTAGGGACTAAAATATAGGTAGTAACACAGATACATCACACCAGTGTGACTGTGGAATCTTAAATAAAATAATTATTAAATAAAAAAATGAAAAGAAACCAGTAGATAAGTGGTATCAAACATATAGTTTTTAAATAACCCATTAAACAATAATTTTAATTAATTTTGAAAATTAAAATATAAGTACTATTTTACATCTGTTTTTACAGGACTATGCGGTTACTTTTAATTGGGTACACAAGGTGACCCACAAAGATTCGCCAAATACAATAACTTTAGTTGTGTTCAATATGTATTAATTGTATGTTTAATAATTACTAAGCCTTGTACTATAATTATTTTATTATATATACTTGTATATATTGTTTTTAAACTAAAAATAAAAAAATTGTATCAATGATTTTTGCAAAAACTTCAATAAGTTGTAAAAACTTAACAATTCATCATTAGTAAATATTTATAGCACCAACAATTTTGTTTGAAAATAAATTTATCAAATGGCTATATTAGATTTTGTAAACAATTTTAATAATTTAAATATTTCAAATTCGGTTTAAAAATATATAGAGAGAATTCTTAGTGCAAGGATATAGTAATTCTTATAAAAACAAAAATTGTTTAATATTGAACTAAACAAAAGTCGAAAGTTGGTGGGATATTTTTTATAATATGAGGTGCCAATAAAATTACTATAATTTTAAAATACTTAAATGACTACTGTACAGGTAGTTTTTTTCTTTCTATAGGTAGTCAAATTATCTAAGTAACTAAAAATATTATAAGTGAAACAGAAAAGTAGATGGGTACCTATTTAAGAGGGTATTTATTTAAATCTAATTTCAAATTTAAAGTTTAAATAGATGTAAACTCTGTAACACCTTACTAACCCACATTGGAAATAAAGAATGACAAAAAAATGCCATGAGCCTACAAACGTGAAAAATAGAATATTAACTATTAACAAACATGTTACTTATATCTATTTAAAACAACTCTTGAAGTCGTCTACTAAGTACCTATTGAAAATTAAATTCACATTGACAGAATAATTAAAATATTTGGTTAGAAATTATTAAAAATGGTTATGTTGAAAAGAGCTTTAGGTCCATTTAATTCTGGAAAAGCTGCCAAAATTTCAAAACTAAATATAGGTGATGTGTGTAGGTTTACAACTTTGGTGAGCCAAGTCTACAATAACTAATGACAAGTAACAATAAAAAATATATTTTAAAATTGTTATTATTATTAATAGTAAATATACTACTCTTAGATACCACAATTTTATTTGAATCCAAAGTCAATATTTTAAATACAGTAAAATAAATTAATCAAAAATAAGGTAATCTTTCATCTTTCAATAGGTGGGTACAGCCTGATTCCAAATATACACAGTAATAATACCAATATACCAATTCAAAATGAGTATTAAAAATCCGGGATTGTATACCGGGATTTATACATAAACAACAAACATACTAGATTAATTGAATTCATCATTTACATTAGAAAATTGAAAATTGGCCAATACTATAATGAAAAATGTATGTTCCTGATAGTTATTCCATTAGTTGAGTTCATAATTATACTCGAGTACCTAAACAAGTCCAATCACTAAGAGTTGACGAATATTTGTGAATACCCTTACAATAATAATTCTATTATTTTTGTATTTTTAATGTAAAATTCTATTATTGTAAATCAACAAGTAAATTACAAAATAATATTATACAATGACTAAAATTACTCTTAGATATAGAGGTTAAATTAATATATTGAGTGGTTGATATTTGAAGACACAGAAATTATATATTATTTTTATCGTATAAGTGACAGGTAGGTAGTACAATCGTCTTATTGTGGCCATATTAAGTTGTTCGGAAAAACACTTTGGCCACCTACTTATAAAATCTACACAACCAATTCATAAGGAATTATAATTTTATCTACAATGGTCAATATGAATAATAATTACCGATACTGTGAGAAATTTAGTTACCCGTTTTACCAAAAATAACTTGACTGATCGTTCGATCGTGGCTAAACAAATGACTCAATCCAATACTCTGTCTAGACTATATCTTTTATTCAAAATTTTACAAAATAGGTAAACGCTTACCTTTTTTTGTTGTTTCTCCCACGCAGGGTCCAACAGCCCTTCGCGTTCCCATTCCTCTTCAGGTTCCATGTATCCGTTACTGTAGTCAATATCGTTTGAATGGTTATTCATGGTAATCATTGGAAACCTATAACTCTACTGTTTGACCGGCGACCGTTGAATTTTTAATTCAAAAAAAAAACCAAATAATTATAATATTAATTTTATTTCAAGCGTACTACACGACCGGGTACACCATAGAAAAATGTACCGGATATTTTAAAATGGTTAAAAAAAAAAAATTAAAAGACTACGACGGAAGATCGGTATTTAAAACACTCGGCTGTATATATTTATATAATATATATGACTATATCTATATATATATGAACTTAAATATATAAATATATCAGTTAAAAAAAAAACAGCACTAACGACCGCCGGTTACGCGTATATACATCGAAGCGGACCGAGTTGTTTTGTTGACGCGCCGCGCGGTCCGCAGATGCATACGTACGTACGCCTTCCGCCGCCCCACCACCCGTTTAGTTGTCGCGTGCTCCCACCACCTACGACTCTGTCACAGCTGCTGGACGTGCGCCACGGATTCTATGTCCCCACCCCACGGGTCATTGATAGCCGCAGTGTGACCACAAGCCGGGTGACGAAACTTTTCTTTTATCCGTACTCGTACTGCCGCCGTTTTGTGCAATTTTACGACCGCGTAATTACATAGAAATAGTATTATAAACTTGAGTACTTAGTACTTACGACGTTAACGGACCTAGAACTATACTAATAACCTGTATAAGCTTTCAAAATAATACGTCAATGGACAATTTTTATTTCAGACCTTTCAGCATTAGGCGACCAATCGAAAACCAAAATAATTCATTATTGCTATTAAATAGATAACAATATTTAATGATAGTATTTTATGATAGTATTCAATGATAGTAATTTCAATTTTCTACATTTTTGAGATTTACTCGATTTCAGCGTTTGATCGTAATATATTATATATTATATATACATAATTTTTTTTTTTTTATTATTATTATTATTATTTATTATAGTTTATACCTATAAATTATTATTTTTAATTACCAAGGAGATGAATTATAAAAAAAAAAAATAATAACTGTTGCTTTTTTGGAGGGACGAGAAAACCTCTTACGATACTTTGTGGTGTATTACAATGTTTAAACCGCCCCCTCCTTAATTGAGCAACGATTACGGTACTGGTACCTACGTGTATTTAAAATAAAAATGTTAAATAATAATATAATATTGTAGATGTAGTCTCGATTACATATTATGGATATTAAATCGGATTTCATGAAGCGCGAGGCCCTAGACGAATGTTCAGACTGTCATAACCCTCTGCCGGCTGTGTCTCTGATTGGCTTACGTTAAACACTGTACCCTGTATCCCCAATAAACTTTTTAGATATGTGCATTTTTTTAGATTCTACGAGGAATGTATGGGAATTAGTGTATTACTATGATGACTTGACGATGTATTTTTTTTTTCATTGGAACTGTAACAAATTTTTTATCTGAAATCTTGCTCCAATCGAAACACTAAAAAAATATAAAATGTATATGGTTGCTTGATAATGCTCAAAAATATTATAATACAAGGGTCATAAAAATATTATACACTACACAAATATTTAAAATTCGAAGTCAAAGTTTTATATTCTGAATGGACGAGGAATGTATTGGTTTTACTATATAATTGTAATATTATTTTTTTTACTATGCACGAAAATTCTACCAGAAATTTTACTCTGATATTTACGTGTGGCACCATTTTTCTGAAAGGAAATATTATCTAGGTAATACCTTTGGGAAGTTATGTTTGAATTTTTCAAGTATCTTTCATAATATCTGGGGAAAACCCGGATAAAACGTAAAAAAAACAAGACATTTACGAAAATAATCCTTTTATTATTTTCAATAAGTTGTAATTGAGTTAAAAATATTCATAGAGACTTGAAATTTAGACACGAAATTATATTTGCCTTTTTTAGACGTGGTAAAATGTTCAACTAATTTAAACCATTTTCGAGCAAGTTTTGTACGTTTTAACTTTTCTACCAAACATTTTGCTCCGATTTGCAATGAAACTACTTTTTCTGAAAGAAAATCTGACTGTAGTTGTACTTTAGGAAATTCATTTTTGATTTACCTCACGTTTTCCCAATAAATGGGAAAACATGGGAAAACTCGGAAACAACGGGTAAATAAATATAATATTATCAAATATTATTAAAAAAAATCTATAATGCATATTATATGTTATTATTTTACCTTAATAATATATATATTGATTACAAAGTAACACTATTAACCAAGCTTCCCTCAGAATCGTTTTTCGTTTAATCGGTTAATCGTTTCGTATAGATATACATTAAATTTCTACTCTACCTTCTGAACTTCTTACCTACAACAGTGGCCGCTCCCATCCCCAGTATCAGCTCTTTTTAATAATATGTTCATCGCAATTAAAGCAAACGATGCAGCTATACTCGGAGATACTACCATACTTACGTCGCGACCTAGACTGACGGCTCACTCTGATTCTCCTGATTATACGCATCGTGTAAACAATTGGGTGAATCAGCTATTTGGTGAGGCATCCTCGCGCATCAGATTCGCGTCGTATAACCCGGGCTTAACACTTCTCTCTACTTTCTCTAACCACATGCAAAGTTTTTTCCATTTTTTTTTTTTTATATGTCCTTAAAGTTAAAATTTTGGAAAAAAAGTAATCGTAAAAAACACGGAATTTTGCGGAAGAAATTCCAAGTTGTGTGAATTAAACTATTTTTTGTCTAGGAAAAACCCCCAAAAACATTGACACATTTAAGTTCATCATATGTTGCACTGAGTGTTAGAAAAAAAAAGTTGAGGGTATAATGTTGTACATTTTATAACAATTTATTTTCGTATAGTTATATTTTATAATATTTAACAAGACGCAGTGGTGAATCTAGGATGACGATGGGAGCATTATACCTATACTGTTAGTCTTAATACGAAATTTCATCTCTCCCCTCCCGTTATCTCGTCGCAGATCCACCAATGATGACACGTTTAGTAAAATCATCATAAAATATTATGTAAATAGAAAAAAAAAATGTTCAACATACATGATACATCCCAGTTTCAATTAACTGAAAATCCAGTAAATCTGTAAAACTCTGCGATGGAAAATGTTTATTAAAATAATTTCCAATCGGAGATTCATCCGAACATCGAACAATATAGTTATATACTTATATATATCTAGTACCTATATAGGTACTCATAAATAAATTTTACCATAACTACTTATTTAAAATTTTAAGTATTTATCCCAATTACCTAACCTCTTCTCTAAATAATGATAAGTAGACTTAATACCTGCTTACTGTTGGAGGCCCTTTAAACGAAAATTATACGATTTCATATCATTATGTTAGTAAGCGCATAAAACAAAATATTTCAAAAATGTAGGTACCTATTATACATAGGTATATGTATGTATACGAGTATACATAGGTATATAGTCAAATAGATGTTTTACCTGACTCGGCTTTCGTGGCTTAAGGTCTGCAGGTCTGAATTCACATAAATCTTAAACGGCAAACATTAATTTATAAAACGTATAAACTTCATATGCAGACCGAGGTATCAAAATATTAAATACCAGAAGTTTATATAAACATCGAAAATATTTATAAGTATAATACATTTATTTCGAAAATTAAAATAAAAGATACATACAAAATAACAAACGATCATTTACGACTGATATCATAACAGTTAAATAAAATTAAGGGTTTCTAAATTATAACTTATACGAAATCATTACACTTATCTCATTAACTTCCTCTACCGTCAAGGCAAATGCCTTGCATAAAATTAAATTCCCCCTCTACTACCTTTCCGATTTCTCACGTACAATAGTGGCTTACCCACGTGCGATGTATGTCTGTCTTTTTTAATTTATCATTTTAGTAAAATAAATTTCTATTTATTCAATTGTATACATTATTAAAAGAAAAGGAAAATATTAAATCGAGGAAACAGAATTATATATAATAGAATTACGAATTCAAATTTCAATTGTTTGATCGGTCGTCGTTACGATTATCTTTTTATATTATATTACCTACTGTATACATACTTATAATATATTAATATGCATATCCTGTAGTTGAATATTAAATATAATCTATTGTGCTCAGGGCTGACCGTGCTTAAGGGGTGCAAGAGATGCTCACGCACCGGGCGCTATGACCACACGAGTGCTAATATTTTTTATTTTGGCAACCCCCATTATTTTTTTTTCTATGAATTATAAACGAACAAAGAACAAAACTATTGATTAAATACTATAGAAATAATTTATATAATTATATAAATATAATTTATTGTATATTTATATTTAGTTATTATTTGTAAGTAGAGAAAAACTAACTAAAAAGATATATAGACATACTTCGCACGGTGGGTGGGCCATTGTTGTAAGTGAGATGTTGGGAAGGTAGGATAAAGAGGGGAATTTAATGTACATCTGTACGCAACGATGAATCTTTCCTAACGAAAAACGATTCAGAGCGAAGTTCGGTTAAACATGTTTTGAAACACCGTAAAATTTACGATTTTCGTCAAAATTGTATTTTAAAACTCTAATAGGTAAACTCTTATAAATATCCTGTCTTCATATATATAATGAAAAGTGACGAAATATAACAATGTATTTCATACAGCCCTAACACATATAGGACGTAAGTATATATTTATTATTTTTGTCGTATAGATTATATCTTATCATAGCACTGTTTAAGTTAAATATTTGTATGCTGTGAAGTGGCATGTGTTCATATAACTTAAGTACATATTGGCCATTGATGTATAGTATTTACTTACCATAATATGACTCATGAAAATAAAATCCTTAGTGATTTTTTCGTACCCATTTAATCTAAGTCCTATTATAATTTTTACAAACGATCAAACATCTATACACATAAAAATAAAATGTTCAGAATGATTGGAAAAAACATTCAAGGCGGATCGACCGTTTAAAAAATTAGCTGGTTACCTACTAAAGATTTTTTAACACTGTGTATACATAAATCCTCTCCTGGGTAAGTAAATAAGTACAGTAAATGAAATATTATACGTAATATCATATTGTAGGTAATACAAGTAATATACAGTAGAATCTCGACAAATAGTATAAATTGGTATACAACTAATATTTTTAAAAGTTTCAATTAATCGAATTTCTGCATTATTATGCATCAATTTAATATGTAATAACACAAATGAAATATTTGTAATTATAAGATTGTACCTACATTAGTTACATTTAATAATAAAGCTGATAAAAAAAATTCAAAAAGACGGAAGTAATTCCAACGATGAATGAGCCACTTATGTAAGTAATTTTATTCATCTGCCGATTATAAATTACATAAAAAAACTAGCAAAGTTAAAATGTCCATCAAT